GGCCTTTACTGGAATAATGTATTTATACTGAGACAATTTCTAATCAACCTTTTAATGTCAATTGATAGCAATAGGTTTTACAGTATTGGTTAAATACATGGTTATACATTTTTTTTATTTGATTTTACATGGTGACACTCTGCCCTTGTCAACATATAAGCCTAAAAAGTGTATAGAAGTCTGCAGTTGTAACTTGTCAAAATGTGAAAAGGATCAAGAGTAGAAGTTTCTATAAGCAGTAGTCTGTAGTCAACATCAGGAACAGTTATATAGAAAAACCTGTTTTCATGTGTGATCAGGTTGGGACATCTAAACCTCTTCTTTTTTTTTTTTTTTGGACAGTAATGTAACTGGAAAGGGGGTATGGGAGAGGGGGAGAGAGATGCAGGAAAGGACCACAGGCCAGATTCGAACCCAGGTCACCTGTGTCGAGGACTAAGGCCTCCGTACATGGCTCATGTGCACTAACCACGCCACCAAAGCTGCTACGGTCTATGCTTATTTTTAATATAGAAATGTCCTTCCCAGGTAAGATATTTTTTGGGGGGGTGGGGGCATTTTGGGGTATTAGCTGTTTTATTATCAATGAAAAACTCACACGAAGAGAAAAGACAATTAGGAGAAATTTATTGATACAATTACTATGTCTTTGGTGCTCCGACCTCGGCAGTAAACATAGTGGTTCATTTTTAAAGATATGCATGAACAGGAGCAAAGATTAGGGCTGTTACCCCCCCCAGACCTGAAACTGGTGGTGGAGTGGAGATAGATGAAGTTGGTCAATCTGTAGACCACTGGTTGGAGAGACGGTATGCTGAGCTTTATGGGGAGATCCAGTGGATTGCTGGAGCTGATACTAGAGCTTCACTCAGTGACCTGGAAGACGGAAGTCCAGTTGGATAACACAGGTTGAGAGAACCTGTCCATGATGAGCAAACATGGAGCGACAGTGGAGAGGAAAAACTCCCCTTTGGGAAGAAACCTCTGGCAGAACCAGGTTCAACATGGCGGTCTTCTGCCGGACCGGTTGAGATGAGACGGGGAACGCAGTAAGAGTCTGGGAGGAATGACACTATGATGACGCTTTAGCTACGAAGGTGGAGGAGGGGCTGGAGGTGGGTTGAAACGGTGTCATCTGAATGAATTCACAGCGCATCCGACGCCAGCGTACAGGAGCAGACAGGTGCGTATCAGGGCCTTTTAAGGTGAACTTTGGATGCTGATGCGCTTTCGTGGAGGTGAGGTTCAAAGCTGATTGGCTATGTCGCAGGTGGATGTAGGAGAGCAATGAGTTTCTTCAGTTGAACTACCGCCTAGGCTCCATTTTATGCAACGCAATAGCACTAAAACCAGTTGTTTCAAATTTAATCTTAGAAAACATAAAAAAATACATTAAAACTCTTCAAATGTCTCAATTATTTAAAGTATAAAACAGTATTATAACTCTTTATATACAAAATGTAATATTATAACCAGGTAATAACTTAGGCATGTAACATAGAGTATTACTATAGTTAGAAAAAGCACAACTAAAGTTGGTGCAGGTTTTTACTCATGTATCCCCCATGGATTTGGTTCCTCTGAGCTCATTTGTAGTTACATTATACTTCTTTTACTTAAGCTGTTTAACACTCAATAGTAATAAAGTTCAGATATATTACTTTAACACCAAATGTATGAAGATCTTCCCTTACAATAAAATATTTAACAATAAAATAAGAATTATTGTAGTATTTACTCTCTTCCATAACAAATCCTATAGTAAAAGAAAGATTAAAGGTAAATAGCACCAATTCTTTTTATTCTACTTAGTCATTAGCAATAATATCACCTTCTGTTGCTTAATTCTTTCATTAGAAGACATCCTTTACTATAAAGCAAAAACATGTTTAACTCTGTGCTCTAGTAGCCAGGATGCCGCAGTAAAACTACTGATTAAGGGCTTTATAAAATATGTCACAGTTAACATTGTTTTATCAACGGATTTCATACTGCAACCATAAGGAATGTGTGGATGCATTATTTGTTAGGCTGATATTCAAACTGCTTTGCATTCATGCTCTTGGTGTCAGTGAGATGGACTGACCTTCACTATACTTGATGCTGTCGCTGCACATAGTATTTAATAGCCAGTTGCATAAAGCTTCTGATAGTTATGGAAGAATGTTGTGGCAATTTAAAAAAAAATGACTTGTTCAGTGGCCCTAATCCTTCTGTTGATTAAAAGCAACATGAAGGTAGATGTATGTAGAGTCACATACAGTCATCAGTCATATCAAACCAAACTGTTTTTATTACAGGGTTTTCTGACATCATCCAGTCTAACGAATAAAATAAAGCTGCAGTTTTGCTATTTGGTAGATTTCTAAACATTCTTTCATCTTTTGAGATCCAGGGCTTAGGAGTTTGTTGATATGAAAATATTTAGTCATATTTTGCTAGTGACAAGAAGGATGTGTGCACATTACTTCATGCACACTGCTCCCACATCGGTGGTGGCAGCATGGTGATGTGGGGATATTCTTAGGCAAGGACATGGAAAATGGTCAGAATTGATGGGAGATGGATGGAGCTAAAGACAGGAAGGAACTGTGACTACAAGTATTAGCCGCACTTCTCTGTCAGTATATCACTTGGGAAAAAAAAAAAAAAAAAACGTAAATTACATCGTTATTTGCAGCTGTGTTGTAGCCTGGCAAAATATTTTTTACTGCAATGTACTTAATTTCACAGCTGTTTTTTTACCACCTAAACTTAATATTTAGGATTACGACTGAAAGGGTGTCTATAAATCCAAACTGTTACATAATAAAAAGAAATAACTTCAGTTGATATGAATTTTAAATTGCTTTATCCGCTCCATTTTTCCCCCAAATAATTTCTCAAACAGAAACTTAAGACCTTTGAGACTTGATTAAATCTGCAGCCAGCTCTAGTAGTTATTCGATGTAGTGAGTCGATTTACAAGGTGAGAATCAGCTACTTTAGAAAAATGACACGTTAAAAATGTGTGAAAGTTTCTCTTATAGCAAAAAAAAGTTTTAAATCTCTGTAATGCCTCGTTTGGCTGACTGATCCCACTTGTTCCTTTTGCTAGAATCAGATTTTTCTGACTTAAATTTTCAATATTTTGTGCAATAAAGAGACTTATGCCAATGGAGGTGAACTGATATTTAGTCTATAATAAAATTATGCATTTAAAAAAAAAACGTATACTAAATTGTATTTTGAAACGTAATGAAATGCCAGCCTCCATTGGAGGAAAAAAAAAGGTTTTAAGATCCTTGAGTTAAAGAAATGTTTGCAATTACATACTGTTCAAAAGTTTGGGGTCACATTGAAATGTCCTTATTTTTTAAGGAAAATCACTGTACTTTTCAATGAAGATAACTTTAAACTTGTCTTAACTTTAAAGAAATACACTCTATACATTGCTAATGTGGTAAATGACTATTCTAGCTGCAAATGTCTGGTTTTTGGTGCAATATCTACATAGGTGTATAAAGACCCATTTCCAGCAACTATCACTCCAGTGTTCTAATGGTACAATGTGTTTGCTCATTGGCTCAGAAGGCTAATTGATGATTAGAAAACCCTGGTGCAATCATGTTCACACATCTGAAAACAGTTTAGCTCGTTACAGAAGCAACAAAACTGACCTTCCTTTGAACAGATTGAGTTTCTGGAGCATCACATTTGTGGGGTCAATTAAATACTCAAAATGGCCAGAAAACGAGAATTTTCATCTGAAACTTGACAGTCTATTCTTGTTCTTAGAAATGAAGGCCATTCCATGTGAGAAATTGTCAAGAAATTGAAGATTTCCTTCAAAGGTGCGTACTACTCCCTTCAGAGGACAGCACAAACAGGCTCTAACCAGAGTAGAAAAAGAAGTGGGAGGCCGCGTTGCACAATCGAGCAAGAAGATAAGTACATTAGAGTCTCTAGTTTGAGAAACAGATAGTACCCACAAAACACCAGTGTCAACATCTACAGTGAAGGGGTGGCTGCGGGATACTGAGCTTCAGGGCAGAGTGGCAAAGAAAAAGCCATATCTGAGACTGGCTAATAAAAGAAAAAGATTAAGATGGGCAAAAGAACACAGACATTGGACAGAGGAAGACTGGGGGAAAAAGTGACGGATGAATCCAAGTTTGAGGTGTTTGGATCACAAAGAAGAACGTTTGTGAGACGCAGAACAAATGAAAAGATGCCTGAAGAATGCCTGACGCCATCTGTTAAGCATGGTGGAGGTAATGTGATGGTCTGGTAAGGTGCGAGATCTGTACATGGTAAAAGGGATTCTGAATAAGGAAGGCTATCACTCCATTTTCCATACCCAGTGGACAGCGCTTGATTGGAGCCAATTTCATCCTACAACAGGACAATGACCCTAAACACACCTCCAAATTGTGCAAGAACTATTTAGAGCAGAAGCAGGCAGCTGGTATTCTATCGGTAATGGAGTGGCCAGCGCAGTCACCAGATCTGAACCCCATTGAGCTGTTGTGGGAGCAGCTTGACCGTATGGTACGCAAGAAGTGCCCATCCTACCAATCCAACTTGTGGGAGCTGCTTCTGGAAGCGTAGGGTGCAATTTCTCCAGATTACCTCAACAAATTAACAGCTAGAATGCCAAAGGTCTGCAATGCTGTAATTGCTGCAAATGGAGGATTCTTTGACGAAAGCAAAGTTTGATGTAAAAAAAAATCTTATTTCAGATACAAATCATTATTTCTAACCTTGTCAATGTCTTGACTCTATTTTCTATTCATTTCACAATGTAAGGTGGTGAATAAGTGTGACTTTTCAGGAAAACACAAAATTGTTTGGGTGACCCCAAACTTTTGAACGGTAGTGTATATGTCCTATTAAAATATATTTAACATCCATCTTTCCAGTGTAAGAAAGGCAGATAAATGACTCAACATCCAGTTTTAGTGGTTTATGAAAAATGAATAAAACATTTAAACATTACACGGAAACATACACAACTGGAATCCAGCTGAATGAGGCCAGCGCACATTGAGAAGGATTTATTCAAACATTTCAGATCTTTCTTCAGCTGCATGAATTGTTGGAATTGGTGATTACATCCATTGTTGAAATATTGCTCGGCAGGAGGCGACGGCAGTCTTTTCACTCATGCAGAACCAAGAAATACAGCTTTCAATAAAAGGCCAAACAGTAACTGACAAAGCAATTTTCCACTCAAGGTTTCCATAATACATTACATGAGTATTAACTGGAACCCATAGATCATTGTATGAAAACCAAACTGTATTTCTCTTTATGCCTTTGAGTCACAAGGTTGGAATTATAATGAAATCAAAAAACCACACTGGAGGCAAATGCCGGTTTGAAATAAGCTCAAAAAAAGCCAAAAGCTAAACGTTCTTTGCCTTCTTTAGAGGTTAGCAGTAAAAAGCATCTGTGGTTAAATTTCTAACTGCATGGTTACAACTGTGGTTGGTCAGTTCTGCCTTAAAGCTGTGCTGATACCATAAAAACTTCCTTCATAAATAGGAACAATTCTTAGAACATAGAAAATGGATCACAACAATGCACAGCATATTAAGCTTTTCTCACAGCAGGAATCATAAAACCTCCAACAGTGACAATAGAAACCAATGAAAAAAAACAATCACTCACATATTAACCACTGACTATAGCAGAGCTTTATAACCTGAAGCTTATGGCAGAGTTAAACCAGAATGAGACAGCACTTAAAAAAAAAAAAAAATAGGGACAGATCTGAATGAACTTAATCATAGTAATGAATAGAAAGTGATATAAGCATTATTAACTGAGTACTCTAAAATAAGCATCTAAACATTTATGCAGCATTTTTTTTTTTAAGAATAAGAGTCTTAATATTGCTTTTGTCCCTGTAAATGGAAAATGAGCAACACAAATGGGATGTCTAAGCACTTAATTATTAATGCCTAACCACTGCATTTGGAGGGATCTATCAACAGAGACCACACGGCATCTGCTGCAAACTGCCTACTCTGTCATTACTGTGGTTTTATCAGGAATGCAAAAGTCAGATAAATCTGCTGAGGCAAATCTGTTAGATTTGTTAAAAAGGTTTCACTTGAAGGTCCAAAAACTCTGCATGAGAAAGAATAATGTTGATAGTCAAAACTTTGAATGTTAATCATACAAATAGCAGATATTTATTACCGTAACAGTCTAAGGGTTGAAAGTGCAGTTTAACGTTTAACGCTTTTTATTTTCCAGGCATGATTTGTGTGGTTTCTGGCCACATGAGTCAGAAGTTTGGATTTACTTCTCAATGGTCTCAATATCAATCATCACTTCAAACTGAACCTAAAAAAAAAAAAAAAAAGGTAGGAAGACTCATAACCACATCAAGCCAGGTGGTAAAACGTTTCCATTTACTTAGAAGTTCCCCCTGCCCATTTTTAAGTTTTTCTCATTTTAGGAACCTTCATCTGTGTCTCTTTGCTATAGATGGCAGCTTTGAATCCAACATAAAATCTAAAGAGTCACACTAGATCATCGATGCTATTGATTTTGTCAAGTGCAACAGTTCCTCCTTCTGCAAAACCTCCTCATACGACACTTCCTTCTCTTTAAAGTTGCAGTGAGGTTCTCAGGGTTACAAGCTTCCATCCTTTTAAATATTAATGGATATTACTTCCATTTACTTTAATTTTTGTTATAACAAACCATAAGAAAGATCTCCAAAAATGAAAGCCCTTGAATGCAAATTTATCTTACACCTCAAGCCTGCTTTTAGTCCAAGCAGATAGAGTAAATAAATCCACCAGTGTGCCTCCATTTAACTTGTGAATTTGCCTACAAACCCTGAAAATAATAATCTCGGTTTAATATACCTTGTAGCCAAACAGCTTAAGGGTATAACAGCCTTAGCGTTCATATATTTTAAGAAAGTACAAATGAAAAACATCCCAATCTGGCATTTAACAAATAAAAATCATTTTAATAATAATAAATTACCTAATACAGGAAATGTTTAGTCTAATTCAATGTCAGAAAGGAAGTAAGCACCTTTGAATCAACATTTTGTTTAATCTACGTATATTTCAATCTACAGGGGTAAAAGTGTTCAGACCCCTCTATATTTTTACTATTTGTTTCATTGCAGCCATTAGCTAAAATCAAAAAAGTTAATTTTATTTCTCATGAATGTACACTCAGCACCCCATCTTGACAAAATATATTAAAAAAGAAAACCTGAGCTGTCAAATCGTCATAGGTATTCAGACCCTTTGCTCAGTATTGAGTAGACATAACTTTTGAGCAGGTACAGGCATGAGTCTTCTTGGGAATGATGCACATTTTTCACCTGGATTTGGGGATCCTCTCCAGTTCTGTCAGGTTGGATGGTGAGCGTTGGTGGGCAGCCATTTTCAGGTCTCTCAAGAGATGCTCAATTGGGTTTAGGTCAGGGCTCTGGCTGTGCCAGTCAAGAATGGTTGTTCCCATGCCACTCTCTTGTTATCTTAGCTGAGTTCTTAGGGTCATAGTCTTGTTGGAAGGTGAACCTTCAGCCCAGTCTAAAGTCCGGAAGAGGTTTTCTCCCAGGATTTATCTGTACTTCGCAGCATTCAGCTTTCCTTCCATTGCAACCAGTCATCGTTCATGCAGCTGACAAACAACCCCATAGCATGATGCTACCACCGCCATGTTTCACTGTTATTAATCTTGGTCTCATTAGATCAGAGAAATCTTTCTCATAGCCTGGGAGTCCTTTATGTGTTTTTGGCAAACTCTATGCAGGCTTTCATTCGCCTTGCACTCTGCTATAAAGCCCCGACTGCTGGAGGGCTGCAGTGTTAGTAGACCTTGTGGAACTTTCTACCATCTCCTGCATCTCTGGAGCTCAGTCACAGTGATCTTTGGGTCTTTCTTTATCGATCTCACCATGGCTCTTCCCCCACTATTGCTCAGTTCGGCTGGACAGCCAGGTCTAGGAAGAGTTCTGGTCGTCCCAAACATCTTCCATTTAAGGATTATGGAGGCAAATGTGCTCTTAGGAACCTTGAGTGCTGTGGAAATTATTTTGTAACCTTGGCCAGATCTGGGTCTTGCCACAATTCTGTCTCTGAGCTCCTTGGGCAGTTCCTTCGAACTCATTATTCCCATTTGTTCTGACATGCACTGTGAGTTGTAAGGTCTTATTTAGACAGGAGTGGGCCTTTCCTAATCAAGTCCAATCAGTTTAATTAAACACAGCTGGACTCCAATGAAGGAGCAGAACCATCTCAAGGAGGATCAGAAGAAATGGACAGCATGTGTTAAATATATACGAGTCTCACAGCAAAAGGTCTGAATATTTATGACCATTTGATATTTCAGTTGTCCTTTTTATAATTAGCAAAAAATTCTAGATTTCTGTTTTCTTCTTTTAAGATGGAGTGCTGAGCGTACATTAATGAGAAATAAAAAGAACTTTATTGATTTTAGGAAATGGCTGCAATGAAACAAAGTGACAATTCTAAATGGATATGAATACTTTCTGTACACATTACATATGTATAATTTTGATGGCTTGGATCAGAAATCACCAATGAATTTTATTTCAAATTGATCACTAAGAACACTATTTAAGAACTGCCAATAAAAAGCTAATTTAAAGCTCAGGAGTAGAAAATAAATTGAAATGCCTCATGCAGCTCTAGATAATGACCTGCTGATTAGATAATGACCTGCTTAATGTTTAACTTTAAATGTCCTTTTAAAAGACATCTAAAATATGTTTTTTATGTGACATTTTACTACAAAAGGGAACAAAAATGCTTGAATAAAGCATTAAGAGAGCTTTATAAAGACTTTTGAGCACAACATTTCTGCCCTCCTGCTGACCATAAAAATTACAGCTTGCGGATTTTGTTCCCCTTCTGCCTAAAAGCACATCAGTGCTTGCCAAACCATGCAAAAAAAATCTATCTAAACAAAAACTTTAGATATTTTACGTTTATCTTGGGTTAAATCACCCAAAGTCAGAATATTTGCACTGCCGTTAAGTTGCACTGAAATAATTGGCTACTGATGTTTAAAATAAAAACTGAAATGCATCATTATCGCTTCACACTCCTGGACATGCGGATCACAGTCTTAGCTGGTCTTTATTCTTTTTGGCCTCAGAGCGAAGGAAACAATTAAGAACAATATGGCCGAGTCTTTCATCAAACATCAGTCATCTCGTCTTCCATTTCGTCCCCTTCCGTTTCACCCTCTGCTTCGCCCTCCTCCTCCTCAGATGTGACGTCCGGCTCATCCATCTGAGACATGCACTTTGAACATGAGCAGACAAAAAGGTAGTTCTCCCTGCGAAGAAAAAAAGCTTCATGAAGATATTGCACAACAAAAAAAAACCATAGCGGCTGAATTCAGAGAGTGCTCTCAGTCTTTAATGAGATCAGTAATAAGTCACCAAAGCAAAACACTTAATATTTAAAAAAATACTTTTAATGGTCTGAATCAGCTAGTGTAACAAACGCCCAGCAGGAGTGGAAACACACTTTATTAAGACTGAAATGAGCAGGTTGCATTAAAACCTCAGGTATCATTCATTGTGAATGTAATTTAAAGATAGACTGGCATCATGCTGATCAATGAGGAGCAGCCATGCTGTTTCTGCCTCAGGACCAACAAGCACTACCTGCTGGGGATTTTTATTGATCCACATTCAATCCATAAGAGTGTGACCCGCCTTTAAATGATTTGTCCTAAAGATTGTGCGTGTTTACCTCAAGATCTTGTGCCTGCTGTGTCTGCTTCTGTCCCGCTGACAGAAATCCAAGTAACTGATGCAGATCTCCTGAAAACAGAAGAAAGAGTCACTGATCTGACCACAGACGGAAACCCAGTAACCCTGGTCTTTAAAGCACAGAATGGGAGCGCCCTGGTGGCATGCAGGGAGCAAAAGGCATTTTCATCCATCCATCCATCCATCCATCCATTTTCTGTCACGCTTATCCCAAGCAGCCCAAAAAGCATTTTCAATGCAAGTTAAATGCATTTACCTCTTAATATCCACCTCAATTCTGGGAAATTCTCGCCTATTATGCATACCCAAATGGAAAAGCAAATAACGTAGGAACTCTAAGCCCAAATTACATGTGTGATACATTATTTGAAAGCTAACACCTTCTAGTTTCTCAATATATACATGAAAATTGGGTGTGTAAAACACCCAACCTGCATCAAGCCCAAGATGCATCAGTTCAAACATGACTCAAACTTGTTATTTTTCTTGTTGAAAATAATAAGCCTTTTTTGAACAGCAGCTATAAACATATGCTTGCTTGTTGTGGCTGCTTTGTCGTGCTACATTTCGACATGCCGCTACTGTATAATTGTGCTATGGTGCTCAGTGCTCACTATGTCGATAAAATTAACTAGGTGGTTGAATTGTGAATAGAAACTTTCAAACAATGTCTAAAATGTCTATATTGGTAAACATTTTACCAGTATAATTTTCATGCATTCTGTAAACGCTTTAAAACGGGTCGCCGGCGACCCGGTGGGTTTTGAGAGGTCAATTGTCCATCCATTTTGGGTCATGCATATCCCTGCTGGGGTTACGAGGAGTGCTGGTGCCCATCTCCAGCTGTTAATGGGCGGTCTATCGCAGGACAAAACAGAGACAAACAATACAAGCAACCATTCGCGCACACTCAAACTTAAGGAGAATTTAGAGAAGCCAATTAGCCTAACAGTCATGTTTTTGGACTGAGGGAAGAAGCTGGTGTACCCAGAGAGAACCCATGCATGCTCAGGGAGAACATGCAATCTCCATGCAGAAAAACCCCAGGCCAGGAATCGAACCCGGAACCTTCTAACTGCAAGGCAGCAGTGCTACCCACTCCAGTGCTACCCACTGCATCACTGTGCAGCCCCTCTTTAATTATTGTTGTTTTATTTTATTAAACACAAAGAAAAACAATAGTTAATTTGGCATGTTTCACTATGTTTTCATTTATTTATGACCAAGTATATCTGTTATAGCCAATTAACCAATGAGATGAAATCTTAGCAGTTTAGCAACTTTTTAGATGCTTCTAATGACTTTTTCCCCTCAAAAAAAAAAAGCAATTAGTGACAAATCTAGTGACCTCCTATTTGTGTCATTGGAAAATTTGGCAGCAACACATGAAGACAACAATGGTTCTGGAGTTTCTGTGTTCAGCAAAGCGCTGTGCACAGCTGAGCAGCGAGCTCTCAGCAGCCTTCGCTGTAAGAAGATAAACACCGCTGGACTTCAGGATACAAGGACAAAGTAAGCAGCCCGACCTCTCTACAGAAGCTGTGCACTTTCTGTTGCTTTTTACAACAACATATGTCAGGCTTCCCATCCCTAAACCCTGAATAAACATAAATACTGAAGATATTAGACTGAAGCCATCTTCTATTGAGTCAGACCTTTCCAGACTATGTTCACAGAGTCAAACATTAGTATCTTAAAGAAAACATTCCTATCTGAAACATATTTTAAAGCGACTGTCATACTGAGCTGCTACTGGTTCTTGGACTACAGATTTTTATTTTTGATTTCTGAATGCAAATTACAACAGACACATTATTTATGTACAGCAAACATAAAATGCATTAAAGCTGTGGAAGTAAAAAGAAACAGTAATCAACTATTGATTGATGCATTGTGAAGCATTTCTGCAGCTAAACAGCTGTATATACCGTTTTTTACGTATGACGATGTGATACTTTGGAGATTCCATATAAGATGTAGGTGCTGCTCCGATAAGTTTGAGAATCACTGGGATAGAGAATTAACTGAAAACCATTTTTCATACTTATTCAGACCTAAAAAAGAAAAAAAAAATTAAACACTTTCTCAGACCTTTCCAGAATACGTGGGACCTACTGGAAATCTGTTTTTCTCCATAGAAAAAAATCATTTCTTGCCAGCCTCAAAACAATGTTGCATGAATTTATGGCCTTTCGTTTCTCTCCGTTTCTCCCACATCCACAGGAGCCTTTTCCTGTGAAAGTAACACAGCTGCTGTGACATTACTGTGCCATGCAGATGCAAGCCTTCTCAATCTTTCTGACAGCTTGGCAAACCCATTTCAATCTTGGACGTCTCAGGCTTCTAATACTGGCTGACAAGGGAGAAAACCAAGCTAGTCTATATAGGGATGCTCTGTCCTGTCTTTGCTTGACTCATATACATTACTGTAAACCCAGATGTGTTTGCTGACCTGTCCTGGGCTGATGTCACTGAGGGCGTTGAGGTGAAGCAGGAAGTTGTTATCTGGGAAGGATGCCTCCGCATTTGGGATGCAGCTGTGATTACCTGCGTAGATCAAAAATAAAAATCCTTTTTGTTACGTCTGCTTTTAGAGACGTAACAAGGATTTGTTTATCTTCAATAACAAGATCCAAGATCTTGTTATTGAAGATAAACAAAGAACGTAGTGTGAACTCACACGAGCTTTGCAGCAAATAAAGTCCAGATCCCTCGCAGTTCAAAAACTCTCCCGTTTCTGCACAGAAAAACCGGAGTTACACCCATTCCTGACATTTAAGTCGGTATCAGACGCATGTCAACGTAACAGCAGTTCTGTCACCACTGAAAACTGTAGTACAGACCATGAAAAAATGAAAACACTTAAGACAATATGACAGCTGCAAATCTCCTCATTTAAGAATAAACCCTTTTACTCCTGAAATGACTGCAGTACTGAGATAAAACACTGACCTTTGTCAATGTCCTTGTATAACTGGTCAATAAAGGAGTCCAACTGCTCCCTCTGCTGGTCGGGAAGCTCAAGTGCATCACAGGCATGAACCCACTGACTTAGAGAACTATATTAGACACAAAAATACCACAAAGACATCAAAACAGAGATTCAGAGCTGGAAATGTTGATAATTAAAGCAGAAAAAGAGGCGGAGGTCACCTGGTACCGATCCCTTGGCCGTTTGTTCCCACCAAAGCAAACAGAGAGCGGAAACCCTCCGGCACAAACCACTGAAGAACAGTTACACTGTTACTCATGCGTTTTGAGCAACAAATAAACTACCAGTGAGAGTAACTGATTTATTCTGGAACATTTGGAGTTAAAGGAAAAAAAAGACATACTGGCTAGAATAGCAGGAGACTCTGAAATGTGCATATTTTTGTTTATAACAATAATGAAATCTGTTAACGTTTACACATCAGGAAAAAAGCAGCAAATACAGTAACCTCCACTATACAGCTAAACATTCCTCAACATGTTTTCTGCAGCCATTTAAAGCTCCTGGGATCACTCAGGCTTTAGCAACAGTTTGTGTACATAAACCTGTTTGCTTTATCTTTACAATAGATAATTCAATTGAAACTTATGAAGAGACTAAAGAAAAAAAAAATAGCTGTAGACTTAAAGAAGCCATCCTTCTGGATTAATCCATCAACTATGTCTGATAGCAGTAAAGCCACGCCTCAGAATGATGCTGCCACCACCATGTTTAACAGTTGGTAGCTTTGTGAGGTCTGAAAGCCCCATCGTAACTCCTTAAAGGACATTGTTACTCATTTATGAAGAACTTCTGAATCTTTAGCTCATCTACCCTCATTCACATGGGCAGCCACATAGTTCCTTTGAACTTTAAAGTATGTTTTTTTTTTACAGAAATTGCTCGTTAATAGCCAGAAAGAGTGCTTAAGATTAAACTTGTGGAAAGTGAAAAGGGGAATCTAACCGACGATTAGATTTCAAGTCTAATAGACATCAGTTCGTCACTTTTTTTATCTTCGATTTATTTATAACCGCTAAATAGCTCACTATGCAACATCACTAGTTGCAATTTTTTTGTTTTTTATATGTTAATTATCATTGTTTAGCAGTTAGAACAGAGTTGCCCTTTAAATTAGGGCTGCAACAACGAATCGATAAAATCGATAAAAATCGACTTTTAAAAGCGTTGGCAACGAATTTCATCATCGCTTAGTTGTGTCGCGCGATTAATGCGTCATCCGCCGCCGCCGTCCTCCGGGGGAAGAAAAAAAATATGGCGGAGCGAGTCAGCGCCGCAGTTGCAGTGTTGCCAACTCAGCAACTTTTCAGACCCCTCCAGCGACTATTTTTCAAAAAAGCGACTAGCGACAAATCTGGCGAGTTTTTACGGTGTCACTGGCGGCTTTTGCCTGCCGCGGGGTGCCTCCCCCATCCCAACCCCTTTCTCTCTCTCCCACGGGAATCCCTCTCAGCGTGCAGTCAGAGCCGCAGGATATTAGTGAGGAGTTTGCCCTCAGCGTCCAGACTGCAAATGAAGCGTGCATGCGCCGGGATTGACGGCGCAAATTGATCACAATAATTAAAATAGCCTGCGCTTTGTAAAGTGAAAAAAGTCGTAACATGCAACTTTTGTAAAAACAAATGAACATGGCACGGAAGCACCACTGTTATGACGCAGCACCTGAAAAGAAAACATGTTGGAGCCTTCGATGGCAGTGAAGAGAGCTGATCAGCAGGATGAGTAACCATGTTTGTTTGGTTTTAAAGTGGGGAAACGTAACGTTAGTTTCTGAGGTAGCTCATCTGATGCTTTCCTTACCGTGTTAGTAGGTTACAGACAGTGATAAGGTTGGCTACTTATTTTACTTTTAATTTCATTTGAATTAGCTTAAGCAGCATTTATATTTTCTTTATAAATAAATTAACTTGCAAATTATGAGGGCAAGGCTTTTAAAGTTTAAATCTTCTGGCAAAGATAAAGAAAATAAGATCCTGCAATTTATGGAAGTAAAGCAGAACAAAATCCAGCAAGATCAGTAATATGTCAATTAATTATATGCCACATTCCCATGTAAATATCTGTCTTTGGAGGATGTGTTTTTTACCACCCCTAGTTCTCTCATTTTTATTCCAAATACAATTTATAATTTGAATCACAGGGCTATTTTTATCTCTATGGTTCAGTATTTTCTCAAGCAGCAACTTTAACTGCTATACTTTCCTGTCTTAAAAGGCAGAACTCTTCTAGTCTAAAAAAAACTAAACTGTTGAAATGGGGGGGAGCTATTGTTTGAACCCCTTAGGGGCTTTAAAAAACAAAAATGCCTGTCTCTTTTTGCGCTTTATGAAACAAAGTACCCTATATTTTGTGGATGTTCAGCTACATTTCTCATGTAAGTTTGCGTAGTTTTGAAACAAACATTTATTTTTCATATTGCACCAGTACAGTTAATGAGAAACCTGTACTTGTGTGCTTGTTTGTTCTGTCTAAAATGTTTATTTTGGAATAAAGAGGTTAATATAAAAACATTTTTTTGTCCGATTCATCGATTAATCGAAAAAATAATCGGCCGATTCATCGATTTTTAAAATAATCGTTAGTTGCAGCCCTACTTTAAATTAAAATCCAAAAGGGGGTGATTGAAATAAAAGCTAGTTTTTTAAAGTAATGCATGTCAATTATCATTTTATTATGAAATTTGAGAGAGAAAAGAGGGGGGAAACATATACTGAATTGGATTTGGTTGGAGGGAATAAAATAAAAAATGAACAGCCTCAGATCCCACTGTATTAAAAAAAAAAACATTTTCCTTATTTCATGTTCAATATTAGTGCATTTAAACCTAAATAATGCTTAATTATTTTCATTATTATTATTTTGTGGAGAATTTTGCCACAAAGAAGAGAAATAATGAAAAAAAGGAAGGTTTTCGGACGTACTGACCCGACTGAGATGGTCATCATAAAGTGCTGCTTTAAAAAGGCTGTGCAACAAGCCTAGCTGCCCCTGCAAACACAATGAGAAAGATTAGATTCTACAGAACTAACTTTATAAGCTCAAAGCAGCCACGGTGGGGAGGTAAGGTTTCTGAGCGGGATGTCATCAGTGGTCTGTTGAGCTGTGAAGAACTTTGATGTCCCTCTTTGAACAGACAGATTTGATATATTTCACCTCAGAGCTGCAACAGGAAGGTAAACTCACCCTGAACTTCTCTCCCAGAAGCTTATGGGCTATCTCCTCCTCCTCATTGGCCGTCCGACTGCAGAAGAGAGAAAACAGCCTCTGCCAGCGTGTTTTATCTTTGGCCTGGATAACATTAACAACATGGGAGTCATTACTTATAATGGAAAACAGCAGCATCACTCATGTCAAAACAAAATTGATTCAACAGAAAATATATTTGGTTAAATGAATATGCTGATAAAACCTTAATTTATTTACCACCTGTGTAGTTTATTCATGTCACCTATGAGGCTGATTTCAAACACTTTATGTAACTTTCTCATTGAAACCATCAGTATCAGCCTAAAAGCTAATTTCACGGCCGGTTTAACAAAAAGGTTTAATTTATAAAACAATGCTGAGGGAAAATCTAATTAGCATCAGAGTGCATATTTTACATTGTCATTTCTAATATTTGTTACATTAATTTCAACAGATTTTAGTTTCCAGACTCACCTGTTTGACCACAGCCACCATTTTGGCCATAAGCATGATGCTGGACGTCTCTGGTGGATAATGAACGCTCCTATAAGCAGAAAACACCTTTGATTTATTGGCAATCAAGCATGTTTGAACGTAATCGGAACACAGCAGATGGTAAAATGATCATTTCAATACAAAATCACCTCCATGCATCTTTGAGCTTGTTGATGGGGTGGTCTGGATCTGACTCAGAAGGACCCAGGCACAAAACTCGATGGTACTGATCTGCAGCGGCCTGCCGACACTCGCTGCTGCAGTACATCACCTGCATGAGGCAATTAAAATACCTAATAAAACAGTTTTGCTTCACCTGGCAACAATGTAATCAAAAGTGGTTGTAAAGTTTATTGGTTGCTCATTCTCCCAGGCTGGAAACTAATGCAGCAGTGCATTCCCTAAAATAGATGCCAGTTTTAAATCCCTATGATAGGAGCTTAGGTAACAGAAAAACATATATGCTAAAAAAACATTTGTTTTTAATTCATTCAAATGTTTGAAAATATTTTTTAAATGTCAAAAAACAATTCTAGTCATAAACTAGCATTACTGACAGATAATGATAGTAATAAGATAGTAATAAGGGTTTTATGACATGACCACAAAAAGAAATAAAATCTCACTTTATTGAATTTTAAAAGAAAATCAAAAATCATAAGCATTTATTTCGACAGTAGTTATTCTAATACCGGTAATTCACTACATTTTCAAATATATTTTGTAGAACAGGACAAACATTTATACCCTGCATCAGAATCCTAAGGAACAAATCGTATGCTGACTAAGGCTGCAACTAACGCCTTTTTTTGCAAATGAATTAATCTGACGATTATTTTTCGATTCATCGATTAATAATCGGATAGTGAAGGATTCCTTAACGAAGTTTTTTTTACAAAATTAAATTAGGTGAAACAAAAACTTTTCCACTTGAGGAGTTCTGGATAGAGCATACTGAAAGGCAGAAACATCTCTTATCTTTTACGCAAAATGTTGATTTTTTTTTCTTCACAATTTTGACATAAATAGAGCTCTAAGTGGGTTGCTCTGTCTGCTAAAAGCATATTTTACAGTCTCTACAATCCAGTTAACAATTAATCGATTACTTAATTAGTTGATGATTATTTCAATAACTGGTTACCGTAATCCGAATAATTGTTTCAGCCCTAATGCACAGATTTTGGCCCAATAGCAAATCCTTCCATTCCAGCTGTTGAAGCACTTGTAACATGCTTTTCCATCAAATGGAGAAATTGGAAGACAAGCATATTAACACTGAAATATTGGTCAGAATTAAATAATACATTACATTTTGATTAAAGAAGCAAAAAAAGACAACTGAGATACAAAAATGGGCATATAAAGTTCTTAAAATTTGACAGTCCAAAGTCGCTAGGAGGTGAAGACTAGAAGAAACGTAGCGATCGTTCATAGATGAACATAAGCTATACAATGTTCTAGTAGATGGTGAATTAAAAACAGCATTATTATAGTGAAATAGCACATTGCTGCAAGGTTTCAGGAAAACTGCGACATCAGACATCAGTCTGTGTTTGTAGAGAGAAGAGGACAATTTCTGCCCGGATTGAAGTTTGAAAACTGATGAAACCTGTTGTGATTGCAGGGATTTTTCTTCAACCAAAAAGTCTGAATTTGCTGGAAAAGTGATGTCAGAGGACCTAAAAGCTGCAGATGAAGGAGGTCCTTAAAGAGAGATACAATTTTCATCTGATTTAATTCATCTAACATGAAAAGCTCTCCAAACAAAAGGTGATAGCCGAATGGATCAAAGCTCAATAGGTAAGAATACGTCCTTGTAGCAGATGTAACCTTAGTTATCGGCAGTTATTATGTATAAAGAAAAATACAAAAATAAGTTTGATAAAAAAATTAGGGATCAGTTCAAAATGCTGTTTAACCCTGAAAAACAATAAATTCTGCTCATAAAGGATTCCAGGAACATTAAACATATACCGGTATAGGGCAAAGAAGTCATGATTCGATTCGAATCACGATTCACATGCCACGATGCGATTCTATCACGATGCATCATGATACTTGAAATAATGCGATGCATCGCGATGCACTGCAATATTTTCAATGAACACTGTAAGAAAAAGATACAGCCCTTACCAGTGGCTGAATGGCTGTTTATGATCTGGATAGTGTCTTCAATTGAAACATAACTGAAAGCAACTGAATTCATACATAGCTGTATTTATTGAAACGACTTTTGGAGGTGTTGCCATGAAAACAAATACTGGACAGAAATATTACTATTACTGGCATGGACACACTGACAAAATGATCTTAGGTTTCATAAAACTTAAAATAACAAAATAAGGATTATCAGTGCCATTTACATGGCCTCAGTGGTCCTTTAAACCAATGAAATGAAAACATTCAAATGTATGACATTTCCCCTTTTGCAAATGACGTGCATCATATCAATTTCGTTTTTACCTTCTTTGTTTTTAAAGCCAAAATTCATCCAAGCATCTGACTTGAAATGTGATGGAGCCAGGCGAATTTTCTCAGTCTCCTCCATATTTTGTTTACGAATGACTCGTCTCAGTATCCCGCTGCCGGACATGCTTGTGACACAAAGCAGGGAGTGTCAACACATCCGCAGCGACATCTGCTGGACTGGAAGTTGTATTCCACTTGATTTGGCTGATGTGCGCCAACCATTCATGTATTTTATTTGTTCATTTTTTTTTTTTATAATCGATTCTTGAAGGTAGATCTCAAAAATTAGAACCGCGATGCATCGTCATGACGATTATTTTGCACACCCTTACACCGGTATTAAAGCTGCACATCATCACAAACACATCACAGTTACGGAAGTGATTTTTTTAAAATTGGATTTTACTTTTGCTTTTTATCCATTCGTTAAAAATTGTCCTATCATGTTATAAATTGTTAAAGGACAACCTAAAAGGATAAAAGTATACTTTGATGATAAAACTGGACAGTAACACATTTTAACAGCTTTGAAAAGTAAATGTTTATGACATATTGCTATAAATGCATCACTAGAGATTCTAAGGTTGAAATAAATTACAAATCAGGTATATTGTCGTCAAGTCCTAAAATCCTGCATTGTACTGCTACTCCTCTGTGCATCTCTGCCTAACCCTTTTTTTCCTCTGGCTCCATTTATGGCTGCAGTGCTCACAGATACAGTGAACTTGTGCTCTGCTGTCTGATAACAGCTGATGTTCTTCCTGTGACGATGAATCTGATAATGACTGAAATTTATCTGTGAAAACATCTGATTCTTCATTGCTGTCTGTATTCTCAGTCCTTGTAAAATTAGCTGCCAGGGTCACCCTTTCGTGTCTTACAAACAGTACAACAAAATCGCAAAATACGAATCTAGAAAACCTTTTTAGTAAGATATTAACCATAATTCTCCAGAAATATTTGTTTTGGCATTATCTTTCCATACAAATATGAATTTACCTTAAAATTATGTTACAAGTCCTTTAAAGCAATTCTGTACATTTTAGCCACAGTGGGGCGCTAGACCTGCAACTTCAATTTTGATCCTCCTGAAAGCAACTGGCAACATTACGCTGTGTTTTTAGATCTGATGACAGACCAGTTTTGACCAGCAGACTAAGAGCGTGTGGAGTTACCTGTAAAGACAAAACAGCATTGGACCCTCTAGATTAAATCCTACATTACAGAACCAAAAATATCTCTGATCAGGTAAGTGTCATCTCTGTTTTGTTGCCTAACAACAAGTTTTAGCTTAGTGAAGGGGATCACAGACTGCCTTAAAGATACACTCTGGGTCAGATCAGTTATTCGATGATGGATCAAACCTTCTCAAGTTACATAGGCGAGGTTGCGAGAAGGAAGCCTGCACATCTCTTCTGAAGCTCATACTGTGGCCAAAACCTACAAAATGCTGCTTTAAATTACAAAGATGTTGATGCTAAAAAGTTTCACTACAGGAAAAATTATGGCTGTGTGTCTTAGTTAGCATCATCTTTGTTTTTCTTTTTTCCACTTTGACCTCATGTTCTACCTCTTTATTTAAAAGATTAAATAATGAAATTAAAACTACTGCTATCATTGAAAGCAGCCAATGTTTGGGTAAATCTTTGGCTACTGGAAACCCTTTTCTTTATAACCATACTTAGGTGGATGGACCTTCAGGTGCTTAAGAACATCAGCGTTCCAACTACAGATGGCTCTCACTCAAACCAAAATAACTGACAAAGACTGCTGGATAGTTGCTGAAACATCCCCAGAAAACAGAGAGAAAGTCCAGTTGCCCCATTATATGCCTGGTTTAAAGCAGAGCAATAATTGATTTTGTTTATTGTTTGTGTTATGTTCTTTGTATAACCTTGGTTCTCATTTTTTCCGTCTGATCTTGGCTGATATTTGTGAAATCGGGCAGATTATCACCCTCACCAAATAAAAATTACTATAGGTAGCATCCTGCTGATAAAACACATCTACTAATACATTTACTAAGGCTGAAACAATTAATCCTGATTAATCGAATATTGAAATAATAGCCAACTAATTTCTTAATCGATTAGTTGTTAACTGGAGTATAGAGACTCTAAAACATGCCTTTAGCTGACAGAGAAACCCACATAGAGCAGTAACTATACCCAAATTGCAAAATAATATATAAACATTTTGCATTTAAGATTAAAAAAAAAAAATCTGTCAATATGCTCTATCCAGAACTCCTTAAGTGGAAAAGTTTTGGTTTCACCTGGTTTAATTTTGTAAAAATCTTCTTAACCCTGTAATGCCAAATGTATCTTATTTGATACATACGGTTTCTGAAATGTTTTGCGTCTGACACCTTTTGCATAATTTAATGGTAAAAACTTTGCTTAAAATCCTATTGAACACAATCAGATATACCTGATAACAGAGGGCAGAAGACTATACAAAAAATTATCTTGACTTATCGCATAGTAATAAATTATACATATAAAATATGTATTTCTGTTTTTTCTTTTTTATCATTTTGTTAGAAGGCCAACTAAGGACTTTAAACCAAAAAAAAAAAAAATTTCTGTTTTGTTTTATTCTTGGATAGGGCTTTAAAGGGTTAAGGAACCTTTGGCTATTCGAATATTAATCAATTAATCTAAAAAATAATAAACAGATTAGTCAATTTTCAAAACAATCATAGTTGCAGCCCAACCAGAGACACAATTTCCCTTCAACATACTACGAGTAAAAGATGATTAAACTAATGTCACGCTGCCAAATAAAACTGACAAAATAACCAACATGGTAACTTGAAGTACCGTATTTTCACGACCATAAGGCGCACCGTACTAAAAGGCGCAGTCTCAGTTATGTGTGCCATTTCTGTATTTAACACACACATAAGGCGCACCGGACTATAGGGCGTGTTTTTTATATACAGGTACATGTCCTCTACTACCTTTAAATAGCTCTACTGCGTATTTAAAAATACAGCGGGGGCAAAACTGAGTATGACTGTGCTTTATTCATGTATTTATTACAAAGTATTAATCAAACCTGGCAGCTGGCCGTGAGACAGACACATCGCAGATGACACAGCGCTGTGGTCACTCCTAAATTAACTTAAAATCCTGAAACCTGCCGACGGAATATGTTCGCTTTTATTACCGGTATCCTGGTGCCTGCAGTTTAAATTATTTAGATGAAAAACACCTGCCAGCCAGGCTACCCGGCCTAGAGGCTGCTGATGAAGGGATTTCTACTGTCGGTGCACCGCTGGTATGTGGGGGTCTGAGCGCCTCCGACAGAAATAGATAATCTGGATGAACTGACTGCAATTATTAAGTTTTCAGGTGGCCTTTCTCACTTAAAAACATATTAAAACTACTTTATTCCCACTGATCACAGCAAATATAGCTGCAAGATTTAGATTATTTAGATGAAAAAACCCCTGCCAGCCACCGCGGTGAAGAGGAGGAGACCCGGCCCAGAGGCTGCTGTTGAATTAAGTTTTCAGGTAGAAAAATACAGCGGGAGCAAAACTGAGTATGATTGTGCTTTATTCATGTATTTATTACAAAGTATTAATCGAACCCATCAAAGTCCTCATCCTCTGTTTCTGAATTAAACAGCTGCGCTAAATCAGACATGCCAATTTCCCCTTCTTCGCTGTCAGAGTCACTTTCCGTGCAGCGCGGCTCCTCAGAAATAATGCCGGCTTTTGCGAAAGCTTGAACAACAGTGCCAGCAGACACGTTAGTCCAAGCATCAACAATCCATCCGCAAACGGTGGCGTAACTTACCCTGCCTTCCACTTATCGTGAAACTGTGGTCTCCGTCTGTCATCCATTGCTCCAACGCCGCTCGCAACCTTACTTTAAACGGCCGGTTCACACCGATGTCGAGCAGTTGAAATTCCTTTGTCAGACCCCCTGGATAACGGCGAACACAGCGTTTATTTTTGTTTCAGCATGTTTTTCACATCAGCTGTGAGATGGGCACGCATGGAGTCACATATTAAAAGCGATGGTGATGCGTGGAAAAAACCACCTGGTCTCCTCACATACACCTGCCTCAGCCACGCTTTCATCATCTCCTCATCCATCCAGCCCTTTCATTTGCTGTAATATCATTTGTCATCAGAGCGATGTCTGTCTCGCTGTCAGCTCCCAGATCAGCTTCTCTGATTCGTTGATGCGGTGCTTCCAGCAGCAAAACTTCAATTTTTCCATCTCGAGCAGCAGCAGCGCATTGGCGGCGCGCTCCCGACGCGCAGCGCCTGCTGCTCAAAACGCGCTGCGGGACCTTTTGCTGCGTCTATACCAGGGGTCTGCAACCTGCGGCTCCGGAGCCACATATGGCTCTTTGGACCCTCTCCAGCGGCTCTTAATATCGGCTAAAATGTATATAAAGAGCTAAATAATTTAAAAAAATTATACCGGTATCAATAGCTTTTTTTTATAAGATGGAAAAGAATGAGATTAAAAGAACCAGATATATGTTTAAGAGACATTTTTCTATTACTTAGCTTGAAAATTATATGTTTTAACATTAAGAATATATGAATTGATTGTTTGAGATGGCAACAACTAATTTCCTATACAAGAAAAAAAAAAAAAAAAGGTTTTCTAGAAAAAGTCATGATATATTTTGCGGCTCTAAACAACTTTTATTTGGTCGTACTCTGGTCAAAACGGCTCTTTGGATATGAAAGGTTGCAGACCCCTGGTCTATACGCTCGTCAACCATTGACTTTGCATGTAAACTCGCTGCTTCTGCTGCACCTGCTGCGTCCGGTTCACAGCGAGCACAGTGTTAATTTGTTTCACCATGTTTTTCACATCAGCTGTGAGATGGGCACGCATGGAGTCAGATTAACAGCGATGGTGATGAGTGGAAAAAAAAAACACCTGGTCTCCTTACATTCAGCCACTCTTTCATCATCTCCTCAATGAGGTGGTCTCAAAAGTCGCAGTTACAACACACATAGGGCGCACCGCACCAAAGGGCGCACCGCACATTTTGAGGGGAAAAAAAGACGTTTATGTGCGCCTTATAGTCGTGAAAATACGGTAGAAGTATATTAGAGGTTAGTGAGGACTCTAGCAGTGGCTTCTTGTCAATGAAAGAGTCCAACTGCTCCCTCTGAATATTAAGCATAATGTTACAAAGTGAAGAAGAACGGATGAAATTAGAAAAAGAAAATGTAATAACCTGCTGAGACAAATGTGGACGAGCAGAGAGGAAGGAGTTTAACTACCTGGCACTGAGGGCAGACTTGATGAAGCTCGGGGCGGACGCGGCACAGCTCAGGATGAGGAAGGCTGAGTGCAGGGTTGCCGCTGAGTCTCCTGGCATTTTCTTCTGCCGTCTCCAGAGCACGTAAGCAATACTCACAGGCTGGGAAAGGCAAAACGAAGGGGGATTTTGATATATATATATATTTTTTTTTAAATGACGTTTTATTAATAAAAACCTCTTGAAAACTCTGATAGAGATCTAAAATCATAAGAGTTAATACCCTGATGTTTCCATTTGTACAGTTAATTTTATTTAAGTGCTTATCTTTTATGAGTTTAATAGAATGTGTCTTCTATTCTTTAGACACAGTGCGTGTAAAGTGCTTTACCTTTGTAATTATACAAAGAATTCCACAGAAACTGTGCAGAAACCAGAGGCCGCTCAATGAAAATGGTTTCTCCTTTCTTGATGCTTCTTTTCGCAAACAGACCTTTACCCTGTGAAAATTTAAAAAAAGAAGCTTTAGAAAATGGATGGTGGCAAAAATTGAAGCAAAACATGCTGCATTATAAGCCCTCCTGCAAAGATTTGATTCCTATGTTCAAAAAAATATTTTCAAATTTAATTTAATTTTGATTTGCCAAGAGAATCTCCAGGATATTCTAATCGGTTATATTAAAATGAGTTTATATTAGAATATATTAATCATATGGATAATATTCATTATTAACCTTGCAGAAGTCTTTGGTGAATAATCCCAAAACTAACCACTGAAAGCTAGCCATGCCCAAACATATATATAACAGGTACATAATATCACAAACTGCTTTCCAACTAGTGAAATAAATATAGTATAAAACTATCCAATGACAACAAACACATCCCTGTTTAGTTACAAATCACTCTGCACGTGATCTGACCAACTGATTCAGTAAAACATTGTGAAAACGGAACAGAAAGACGTTAAATGTTAGACTACATGCTCTGATTGAATCACAGGAGGATAAAATATTATGTATACAATTGACGCGTTTGCTGTATGTCACGACAATTGTATCAACAGTATGGATAAGATAGTTAAGGAGCGATACTGCATTTCTTTTTGGAGTATCTCTATAAATTGGAGTCGAGGTGTCATGTCGTGTCATGCGGCAGTAAGCTGCAGCAGACATGCGAGCCAACAGCACCGCTTCTAGCAGCCAATATACCAGATAACACCTTCAGTCTGTTTATATTTAACAATGTAAGGAAGACTCACCTTTATGTTGTCTATAAACCTGACTTCAACGCTGCTGTTGGTTTTACATGGGTCCACACAGAGGGAAAACATATGGTCATCCACGGGGGCAGCCATGTTTCTTCTTCTTCTTCTTTTTTTATGGCGGTTGGCAAGCAACTTATTGATGCGCATTACCGCCATCTACCGGAATGGAGTTTAGATCGGGACGCTATATATACACATTCTCCCACAAAACAAAAATAAAAAATAAAATAAAAATGATTAAGTTGATAAATGTTATATTCTTTCAATCAATTTCGTTTTCTTAAGGTAATTCATTAAATAATAAAAAAAACATTTAGAAGTAGAAAGTTTTTCCAAAATATCTTGTATATTTAATTGCTATTTATTTTCTTGTAATCGAATTACCGAATAATAGCAGCCATGTATCGCCACCCTTTTAATTTACCGTGTAGAAAGAAAAAATTGTGCCCCCTGCTGGTGGGATGGTGAAAAGTAGCTTCATTTACAAATTAAGGAACTTCCATATGATTAAAAAAAGCAACAAAGCTGTATTTCAGATACTTATATACTCACATGTCAATCTGTTCAGGTTTTCAATCATATCAACAGTTTGTTAAACATTATTTTTGCGTTCATAAATCCATAGCAGATACTCTATATGTCTCAATTCAAAATTATTTAAACCTAGCTAAATGTTTTGGGTAAAAATGTAAATAAACATATTTAATCTAATTGGCATAATTGACTGCTTTGGGGGAATTTTACTGTTGTAGTCTCTTTTGTTAGTTAAGGCACTTCAAATAATTGAAACTGAAGTATAACATTATAAAGGTAAAAATACACCCATAAATTGTCATAAAACTGTGATGTACACTATATTGCCAAAGGTAGAGTGTCACACCCCACATTGCTAAACTGTAATATAACTTCTATGTCTGCATGTGAATGTGGAAAAAGTGTTATTTTAAGACTGAACACTTCAGGTATAAGAACTGGAAATAAGCCCAAGACTGAGGGGGCAGCATGCCTGCATTGTAGGTTTAGAACAAAAATCATAGCTTTGGTTTAGAAAAACTCAAACCCCCAAACACCTTGTGGAAGGTGTTTATAGAATAGGTCAAAGTTGCATTTGTTGTAAAGAAAGAGGTCCATAAACAAACTAGACTCTAAATGTTAAGAATAGGATGTCATAAGGACTCATGTAAAAGTAGACTGACAAATGGTTATAGCGATATAGTGTTGGTTTAAAGGAAAAAAGCTAAGCATTACTATCAAATAGAGCGGTTTTAAGAAAGACAATTATAAAAACACTCCTAACCAATTGAACCTAAGGTATATCCTGTAAAATAATAATTGCACAGTCTTTACATATTTGACACCAAATGTTTAATCAGGTTATGGCAAAACATAATACAAATAACAAACAGGAATAAAACAACCTCTTTATCCAATGTCTGTTAGACACGTTTAAAATAATACAGAAAAAAAATAATATATCTACATTTGAGATTTAATTACAGTCAGAGGCCTTGAACGAGTAAAAAAACTACAAAATAAAATAAAATTCAGGAATTGTGAGTGATGCTTCCAAAAATAAGGTTTAAATAAGCAGGTCTGTTTACATTTATCGTATTAGAAATCAGCAAACATCTTCTGCACAGGTTACAGAAATTCCAGTAAACAGGGACAGACCGAACAGCTAAAAATATAAATGTCACCGATTTATATTTTAACTGGTTGAGCAACAATATAGATGTAAAACATAAAATCTGACTGATTAATCCATGATCAGCTAAAAGGTTAGATTGACTAAAGGATCCTTGCTTAATTCAATCCTTCATAAAATACTGTTAAAAAACCTTAGCTTCAAATTACAACAGAATAACTTTATGAGTTAACCGCTTTAAAGATATTTCCCAATTTATTTCTGTAATATCATGTTTGCATTACTGGAAAACCCAATACTGTTTTGGTTTATTTCAACAATTTTGTTTTCTATCATTGTTGAAAAACTCAACAAGAAAAGTTTATTTTTAGTTAAAAGGTGTGTTTTTTTTAGTCCAACATCACTAACAAAAATATGGAATTGCAAAGTATATCTTGGACTTTAACAGTAAGCGTTTAGACAAACAACTCTCAATATTAAAATCCCATTTCGTACAGTCGATAGTGAAATATTCCAAGTTAAGAAATACTTATTATATTATTGTTATTATGTAACCATAACAATCCCTTTAAATAGGAAAAAAAAATTATTTGTCTGTATTTTACATCGGAGGTTTTGTCTGTATGTCTGTAAGTCACTGAAAAATAAATGTTTTACTGACAATACGTACGTTGCTCTGAAGAAACAACAGCTAAGTATGGGGGGCATGAGAGGAAATGAAAATATCTAAAAATGTATTTTTAGGAGGAAAAACCCTTTTAGTTATGAACTTGTTCAACCAGTAGAAACTAACTATTACTACACAGTAAATTACAGAGAGTCAAATTATCAGTGTCAGAATCTGTTAACCCTATAAGAGTCATTACAACAACAGTGAGTGTAAAATGCCTCATTATGTATTTCAGTGTTGGTGAAAATATTCATATGAAATCGGTTTGGTAAGGACCCTTGATAGTATAGTCTGAAAACCTTGTTAAAATAACTGGGTTTACAATATAGCTTATATTTCTTATAAATATATACATTTTAAATGTCCTTTTTCTGTAAATGAACTAAATGACTTAATACATTTACAGAAAAAGGACGAGCTGGTAGCTATACACTCCAATCTATTCCAACAAATCTAAATGTATGTGGAATGTTTTCATCTGACCATATTTCAAAGGTTGGTTTGTATTTAGATTTAAAAGATGGTCTATAAATGAAAAATCATCCTCTTTTTTTCCAAGGAGAAAAATGCAAATGTTATTTGGGTTTTTTTTTATTCTATGCCAATTTTTTTGTTAATGTGCTGAAATTAATAAATTGATAAGAAATGTATATATTGAAGCTTGTTTTTCCCCAAAATTCTTATTGACGTTTTGGCTGTACACCTTGAGATAAATAAAATTGTAGTTTAACACCAAGAGTCAATTTCAACACTGAGCCAGGTTACATACTGTATGGTCCTGCCAGTTAATTTTACTCCACTTAGTGTTGACATTTTACAGGTGTTGAACTAAGTTAACAATTGTCAGAGTAATTTTTATTTGACTCTATAACTAAATTCGGCTCCTACTAGAGTAAAATTAACTCAGAAATTCTGACACTGTGATCAGTGTAGGTTTTACACTGTACAGGGCAGGACCATATGTAACCTGACTCAGTGTTGACATTGACTCTTTAAGTGTTACATTAACACTGCTCATGTTACTGTGCAAGGAGTGTAGGAAGGAAGGTGGAACATATATAAGGTTTGTGAAACTGCCCAGAAAAAGTCTGAGTGCTGTCAAAGAAGTGCAATAATATAGGATTCTGTTAACACCATGTCCCTAAAAAAAAAAAAACAGTTGCTAATTTAAAGGCCTAAAATTAGTAAATCATTTCTTAGTGTAAAAGTATTCTGAAGCCATAAAATACTTTTATTCTAAGGCTTTTACTTAATAATGGGTTTAATTAAATGTGGAAGAATCACCTCTATGCAGCTGCAGCTCTACAAAGCTCAATAACCCCTTTTTCCCACTGCTGCTTCCAACCTAAATCACTATATTTCTGTTGCTTCACCAGTAGCTGCTCGCTGTGAAAAACTGACTGATAAACAAACATCCCAACACCAGCTGTCAGAGCTGCTCAAAGGTCCAACATTTAGAGATGAGGAGATAGGAAGAGGGAGATGTAAACGAACTGAATGAGATAAAAAAAAATAAAAAAAATCTAGAAAATGAGAATTAAAAATAGAGCAGAAAGGCTTCTAAATACAGTACTTATGTCATTATCAAACCTAGAGAGAAAAACTTTAACAAATCACCTCTTGAGTCGATTCTGCTACAGAAGTTGCAGCTGTACATTAATACTGCGCAGAGGACAGTACCCTGTAAATATCAGGTGTATATTATTGCTAAATGGGATTTTAGAGTAAAAATAGGAATTTCCAATAAAGAAAACTCTCACGGATGTGTCTGACCACATGTTGGCTCAATGAATGCAGCGGTTTCTGGAGGAAAAACAGGTTCAGGAATGTTAGGTAGACACAGCACCTCTAATAGCTAGTTCTGCGTTTAGAGTTATTCAGAAAGCTGTCTCTGTTTTATGCTCGAATCGCATCTTCATCATAAACCCTTGTTGTAGGTCAACAGTCTGCAATCCGTTGCCATGGCAATCTCCGGCTCAAGGCGAGACACCTCAATCTGCCGGAAGAAAAAGAAAAAAAAAACACATGATACTGAATTGATTGAGCTGCATTTCTCAGTGTTTAGCCTTGAAAGTTGTTTTTAGTTCAAATCCTGCAGGGTTCTGGGTGCTAAGTGGAGTATATTTAATGTGAATCTCATCCCAGCTGCTCTGTGAGCCATCTGGTCTCCAGAGTGGCAGAACATACTGTACCTGAGACATCTGAGGAAAGAGGCTGATGGCCACGGGCAGAGAGAGGCCGAAAGTAACCAGGCACACAAGGCTGTGGATTGGCAGCAGAAATCTTCGGTTTCTCTGCAGGAATCGCAGCCTGTATGAGTCAGGACACGGATAAAAGAGAAAGTCAGCCTGCGGAGGGTAGATTGATCCAGGCTGACTACTGCGACGCCTGGAGTTATTTTAGGCTGTGCAGATCTAGGGGAGCAATTTCACACAATGAGAGGGTGGGAAACTCAGCTAGAAGCAGTCTAATTAAACAGACTGCAGATTTAATCAGTTAGTTAAACAAAAATAGATTTATTGTTTTTCTCTCCTGTTTCTATCCTCTTTTTCTGCATTATTTCTCATAGAAATAACCTCAAGGCACAACATATGTCGGCCCAAGATGTCTCTCTACAAGAGTGTCAAACAAAGGAAGAAATCTGTGACATAACATAAACATAGGCGTCAAGTTTAAACTTTGAAGGAGTTTTCTTCTAAAATTATTTTGGGGGATTATGCCTGGACCAGGATGTTTTCTTTGGGAAGTAATCATCGGTTTAGGGGAAACTAGTCGTTAGATCAGAAGTAAAAGAGATAGTTGTCACATGCAGAGAAGTCTGTTTATGGATGTTGCTGCAGCTCATTCTTTCATTCCATCTGTACAGCTTTATTAGCCATGGATGGATTTTAATTAAATTATAAAGATATCTGCTTCTGTATCCTTTAACCCCAGTCGCCCTTGGCAGATGGTCGCTCACATTGAGCCTGGTTCTGCTGGAGGTTTCTTCCTGTTAAAAGGGAGATTTTCCTCTCCACTGTCGCTACAAGCATGCTTGGTGTGAGGAATTGCATTGGAGTCAATGAGTCCATGCAATCAACTGGTTTTCCTTAGATAGAAAACTTTTAATCAATTTGACTGTATGATCTGATTGAACTGTAAAGTGCCTTGAGATGACGTGTTGTGAAGAAATAAATAAACTGAATTGAATTGAATAAAAGCAAAACCTTCCTGGTAGAGCTGAACTTGATTCCTGGTTAATCTATTGGACCGAATGCTGAAACTAAATTGAAAGGTGCATTGAAATGCCTCAACAAAGTATTAGTTTATGTAACCAGGTAAGAGGTGAATTGTAAATGATGAAAGTTGTATTAAAATTGAAATAAAACAACATTTGAAACCACTGTATGGACAAATGTGATTACAAACATGGGACAAAGTGCTGTTCAGTATAAAAGCACAGATGAGAATCTAATGGTTGTCGTTGTACTGGTACGTTTTTAAGGACTCTGCAATATAATTTTCGGGATGCACGGACATAGTTGAAACAAAAATGTTCGTCTTTTTATGATACATTTGCTGTACAAGTTTTAATAAATGTTTAAAAAATTCTAAGAGATTATGAATAAATTCAAAACTCCTGAATGTAATCACTGGATTGTAAGATGTATTATGCTGATTTTGTTTTATGACCTGGTAAGGAGTTCGGGTGAATTGAGGCAAAATCTCATTTTTTTATTTAAAAGTTGTGTGTTTTTAGGAACAGATAATACAAGATTTATCTTCCCATCGTTCCTTTTTGTTCATTTATGCAGAAAAAAACAAGACTGTGCAATGACATGAACAAAATTATGGAGGACCAACTCTGACATAATTAGAGATTCATACATTTATGCTTCTTGTATAATTTAATTACAGCTTACCAGTATGTGTTTTCTGTTATTTTTCTGCATTTAATCGTATGACTTTTTATTTATTGATCTTTTATCCATATGCATTAATTTTCAATAATGTCAGAGGTGGTCCGCTATAGATGGGGTGCTAAACCTGAAGACATCTAATCCAAGAGAACTACGGATGTTATTGGGGGCAAAAAGACAACAGGTGGAAGTGCTGCATTCCTGGCAGATATCATGTTACTTTTTAGCAGCCTAATCCTACAATTAAACTTATTTTACATTCCTATGTCATTTTGACTTATTTGGCCATTTCAAACCTATATCACAAAGTGTTTTTTAAAGGGACATAGTCACTTTAGGGTTGTCCAAGACTAATCAATATTAACTGAATAAACTGATCAACAGCAGCTTGTTCTGGTACTGATGTGTTTAAGCAGGATGGAGGTCCATCCTCCTTAGCACATCCCAAGTGCAATTTAAAGACAAATTGCAATTTTCTTCCTCTGTTCAGTGATGGACAAAGACTCCAGGAGAAGTGTCGAAAGGTTTTCCAAATAACTCAGTGAAGGTCTGCTTTAAGCTTGTTTTGCCGTTTCATTGGCCCAGATGTATCAAAAAATCAATGGAAATGAAAAAATAAAATAAAAACAAACAGGGAAAAAGCATCAAGCTAATAAATATTTCAAATAAATAAATAAGTCTAAAATTATTTTACTATAATAAACACAAATAAATCACAGTGAAACGTTTTCCCCCCGGTGAGTGCATCATTGATGAGCCCTGAATTGAATGTGATTTTGAGTAGGATCTAGGGCTGAAACAATGAATCGGATTAATCATGATTAATCGATTATTGAAACAATGGCCAACTAATTTAGCAATCGATTGATTGATTGTTAAATAGAGTATCGTTAAATGGAGCATAGCGATAATATGATCTATTCAGAACTCCTCAAGTGGAAACGTTTTAGTTTCACCAGGTGTAATTTCATAAAAAATCTTCTTTAAGGAACCTTTGGGTAGCCGATTATTAACTGATTATTCCAAAAAATAAACTGATTTATCGATTTGCAACATGATCGTCAATTGCAGCCCTATTAGGATCCATTGGTTTATTATGTCACTTGTACTTAGATTGAAGCTACCACTCGTATCTCTATCAATAGAAACGTTTACTCATACGTTCATCAGCTCTGCAGTGACACCTGAAGGCCTCTGCAGCTTTAGCTACCGCTTCAGTGAACACCAGTGTTCATATTGTTTCTCTCTGGGAATCAAAAATTGTTTGGGGTTTTCCTCACACTGGATCTTCGATTTTTCTTATTTTTCTTGGCAAATGTGCTCGCAGGTGCCGCCCAATTACTTTCTGCTTACCCATGTTTACTTTATTACTAGCAAACTGAGCAAAAACAAAGTATAAAACACACAAAAAACAAATTGCACACCAGCAGGAAGCAGTCATCTTTAAGAGCAACTTTTTAAGCAACCAATCGTGCTGCTGGATCAATTTAGAAAAGTTCATACATGACAACTTTGAAGCAAAAACTACACCTGTGTGTTTCTGTACAAACCTTTCAACGTAGGACATGATGATTGGAGGCAAGACAAAAATCGGCATAGGAAGGACGACACGTGTGAAGGCCGTCTCCATTATTGCCTGCAGATAAAATTTGAAGATGGTGCACAAAATTGGTTTAAATATCGCAGTAAATTGCTTTTATTCCTTTTTTGCTTGTGTAAGAAGCTTAGAGATTCTGATGCAGCAGAAAATGGAAACTCAACAGTTAGCAAGTGTCAAATTAAAAATGCATAGAAAATGATACTTACATGTCTAGCAGCAATTTTGGAGGATCCCACCACGCTGCCAGTGTGGTCCAGTACATCAATCCCCTCTGACAGCTCATTGTGTCTCATTAGAGCTACGTTACAGATATTTGCACTCGCTAAAGAGCAACAAAGAGGGCTTTATTATTTATTCTTCTGAATAATTAACAACCAACAAGGAATGCAGATTAATCAGATTAAAATTAAAATACAATTAAAAAAAACATTATTATATTGAATTATAATTATTTAGATATTACAGAGGAATCATCTTCTCTGGGAGTTTGCAACTCTAACCACCAGAGGGCCGCCAGAAATGTGAAAACAACAAAGAGCCCCTTTATGACAGTGGATCCTTTGAAAACTCACCTACAGCTGGGAAGGGGACAAATCTCTGAATAATCATTCTGGTGGAAGGACTCAGCTTGTTGGCCTTCTGAATAAGCATGTTCAGTCCCACCTATAAAGAAAACAAATAAAAATCATTATTATTACTTATTTAAAAACTGCAACTAGTAATCATCTAGACTTCCAAGAACTACTGAATGTTAAAAATTTTGATATTCATGTCAAAGAGAAAAGAAATCGGACTTACAGCAATAGAGACAGCACTGGTTACAGCGCCCACATAGCCTTGAAGAAACTTAGATGTTGGAGTAGGCTGCAAACAAAGCCAAACCAAGAAGTTACCCGCTGGTTTATTCTTGAAGTTTATCTATACTTATTTATAGTGCAATTTGAAAATTTATTATGTGGGTCATAGTTTTATTTGTTGCACTCATTGAGATGTTTGATCACTGTCCTTTCATCGCTTTTAAAAATCTACAACTTCTTTCTCACTTTTATCATTATGTGTTTCATCTGAGGGAGCTGTCTGTATAGAGGGCAGTGGTTGGCTGCAGCTGCCTGCTTGGTGCTGATCCCTGGGTCCTGGGAGAGATGGAGGTCTCTGCCTCCCCTGGGCCCTAGAGTCGCCCCCCCGGTGGTTATGGTTGATCCGCTGCCCCAGTGCAGACAGCTCCTTTGGATGTTGTTTCTTCACTAGGTTTGTCTGCACTCAGCCTTTTTATTAGCTTTTCTCCAGTCTGTTGGTCTGTTTGTGTGCTTGGTTGTATAGCTATGGGTGTGTGTGTTGTGACTGGTACGTGTTTAATTATGTATATGTATCTTTGTTGAACAACAATTGGGATTTTAATTGTGAAAAAGCACATATGCTGGAGGTTTCCTCCTGTTAAAAGGAATTTTTCCTCTCCACTGTCGCTACAAGCATTCTTAGTGTGAGGGATTGCCTTTGAGTCAATGAGTCAATGCAATCAAATGGTTTTTGTTAAATTGAAAACTTTGAAACAATTTAACTGTATGATCTGGTGAATTGTAAAGTGCCTTGAGATGACATGTGTTGTGAATTGGCGCTATATAAATAAACTGAGTTGAACTGAAAAAAAAAAAAAACTCTTATGCAATAATCCAGTATTACAGGAGAAATGTTACTCTTTTCATTTAGCTCAACACATTTTGTTCTGTAAACATAGTCATATATTGTAGGCACAGGAATGTCAGGATCTTGCCTAAAATCTCATATAAACTTTATATTGCTTTCTACCAACACCAAACACAGTTAAAAAAATGTATAAATGGAATCAAAAAGTAGACAAACTCCAAATAATGCCATATGGACAAGACTCACAGTCAGCTAGTTTTTACCCAAACAAAAACCTTTTCTGCTGAAAGTGCAGCTCTAATCTCTATTCACAATCTATCAAGCAAGAGAAGAAGTCCAGGATATTCCCTTGAGTTTATTTATATAGTGCAAATTCACAACATGTAACCTAGAGGCACTTTACAGAGACAATTCAACCAGATCATACAGTCAGATTGGTTTAAAGTTTTCAACATGATGTTAAACACTTTCCTACATTTCTTTTAATCAATATCCTGAAAATGCACATTCTCTATGACCCCAGATGGATCATGGCCGCAGTGGCGGGGGAACAAAATAACCCGGAATGGTCCGGTACTGCATGCTGAACTCTGCTCAACCACCCGAGCTTGTGCAGAAATCCGTCTTTAGGCGCAGTTAGCCAGGGTCTGCGCTTTACGCTCAACACTGAGGGTTCGCCCTCTGCAGTTTGGTTCTTCCTGCCTAAACCATATCGGGCTGATCATCCTCTGTCAAGCATAAAAAAATCCTTTTGTCTAACTATCACGATTTTATTTTATCCATTTCACAATAGGTGATTCCTTTTTACCAAAAGGAATTCGTCCATCCATTTTCTGTCACGCTTTACCCCTGCTGGGGTCGCGAGGAATGCTGGTGCCTATCTCCAGCTGTCTACGGGGGAGAGGTGGGGTCCACCCTGGACAGGTCGCCAGTCCATGGCAGGGCACCAAAAGGAGTCCATAAATTATATCCTAAGCAAATATTTCATTGCATACTGTTACAATGCATAAATGTACTTAGATCTTTGAATATTTCTCTCTCATAGTTTTTTTATATATTTGAGTTTTTTTTTTTTATTTAGGTCCAGATTGCCATGGCATTATAAGGCAATTATGTCGGTTCTCTGTGTAATTTTTCAATATCAGACTCTATAAGTCTGATATAAAATATCCGACTCTAAATCTTTTAATGCATATTAGACTCTATGAATTTAAATCTACTTTAAATCTACGACCCCTGAGCAGGGGTAACCAAGGGGCAAATTCACAGAAATAAAGTCAAAATTGGCAAAGTAGAAAGAAGAATGCTTTTTTGGAGATTGATTGATCTGTGTGTAATGCATAATTCATAGTAGATCAGGAAGTGTTTGCTTTTGTATGAAATTACTTTAGTTACATGACTCCATCTGTAATAGAGTGACTATGGGACCAGTTTGATAGAGCATTATTTTATGCTATATATATAATTATGGGGTCCCCGCTCCATCTCTCCATCAGCTTGGGGGTCCCTGGCCTGGAAAACATTGAGGAAAACCCCTGCTCTAAACTATTCCTATATTAACCGATATGATGTGTTGGACTAGATCTGCTTTTTTCACAGCTTTTGTGAGACACTTTTTATAAAGTAGGGCATTATTTCATAAAAAAAATTATTTGAATTCTGGAAATCAGTTTTCTGCCCAACATCAATGATGAACTGCACTGCAGCATTGTATCTCCAACAATTGCAATATCTAGGCAAGAGCTGGCAGTCTGGTAAAGAATCTGGTTGTTATTCAAATTTATAGATAACATAAAACTGACTAAAACTAGACAAAAACCTTTTTTAGGTTTTAAACAACTAAAACTATCACATATAGTAATGACTAAAATGCGACTAAAATGAATAATAGTTTTCGTCCTTAAAATCAGAACTAAGACTAAATCTAAAAGGTCTGTCAAAGACAACACTGCATCAGTTTCAGTTAAAGCCTTCCTCTCTTCCCAGTAGGTGATTAGTGGGACTCACATTGACTTGATTCTATAGTGTTAAAGTAAATTTGTGAAATTTGACCAAACTGCATAAAGCTGGTGGTCACTTGAAGCAGCAGTGCACTGCACAGCATAAAAGCCTGCATGCTTTATCCATTAAACCCGTATGTGCAGTTTACCCTTTTGGACTTAATATGTTTAGCCATAGAATTTGAGATGAAAAACTACAAAGTTGTTTTTACCTTAGTGGCATTCCGGTTTGCATAGTTCACGCAGGCATTATGACTCTGGTTCAACCACTGAAAAAAAGCACAAAGTATAAAACACCAACTATCTATAATCAATGCAAGAGAAAAGAAGTAGGCGGATTGTTCAGACTGGAAAAGTTGATCAGATGATCAAAATGGATGCAAAAAATGCAGTGATATGATGGTGCAAAAAAACTATGGAAATCTTTCAGTATTTTTTGTATAAATATGCATAAATATTTCACACAATATTTAATTCAAACAAGCAGATTAGGTTTTCCAAGTTTATTCTTGTCAGAAGGTTATTAGCTACACTGCAAAAAAGTTACATTTCAAGAAGTATTTTTTGCTTAAATAAGTGCATTTGGTGTTGAATTGAGAAGGTAAGCGAGACACTTTGCCAACGGAACAACAAAAATTACATTTTAAATAAGAAAAAACAATTGTATTGTCTTATTTCAAGAGCATATTAAGAGAAAAAATACTTATTCCATTGGCAAATCTTCTTATTTAGCTACTTAAATTAAGGGGAAATACACTTAATTTAATCTTTTTTTTTTTTTTTCTAGATTGTTTTGCAGTGTAAGCTTTATTCTGGGTTTCATTCAACGTTCTTTTTGCTAATCCGGCCCTGACACAAGTCATATTTATACACATATATAAATGACTGTAAAGATTTCAGATAGTTTAACACACCACAGAACAATATAGGCATTTTTCAGTACCTGCCATATAATGGTAGACATCACAGTCTGATTTGGGAGGAGAAGGCCAATGACCTAAATGAAACCAGGAAATAAGAGCTTATTTTTGAGCAAAATAAGTTCAGAGTTTCATTTCATCTGTTCCCAAACGTGACATTTACGATCACTTAAGTTCCTCTAAAATGTGAGATCAAAATGCATGGCTTCGACTTACAATTGGTGTTCCAAATGGTACATAACCTACACAGTGAAAACATGATTTTTAGCATTTAAGCGATGGAAAAACAATGATTTGGTTTGAGGAAACTTTGACAAAGATCTTCAATTCAGGACGTACCTGACATTCGGAATGGCATGAAGATCTTCTCTCCTGTGTCAGGGTGAATGATGGCCTGCAGCACAAAGCATGAGAGATTTCTCATGCTGCCGCTAGCTCAGGGTTTATAATGTATGAAAATGTGATTAAGGCGGACAAACCTACAGACTCACCTGTTTAATCTTCTGGGCCTCCCACAACTGAACAGGAAATCCAAGTTATTAAAGGAGAAACATAATTTACTCTTCTGTTTTGAATGTTGCTCAACTTTTATTTAGAAAACATAGAATCTAACAAATTCATGAGCTGGAATCTAAATCTGATTGTCAAATCTCACAATGAAATCCATTATAACAATTGATTCTTTCAACAAAATGATTTAAAAAAAAAACTCTCAGGCTTTCACAGAGGACTTAACTTCATATGTACAGATAGATTTCTATTTTTTAGCTCAGTTGAATAATTGATCTTAATCAGTTGAACCATCCCAAATCTTTTGTAAAATGATTACTTGTATTATTTTCTAGCTTTTGAACAGAGTCTGAATCACAGATTGCATCAAATGTGGTAAAGACTCACCTGATCTGCAGACACTCCAGGAGGAAGTGTGCCATGTTTATAGTCATCAAGGAGTTTGATGCACTCTTTTAGTTTTTTCTAAAAGTAATAAAAAAGGACAAATAAAAAAAAAAGTCATAAGCACATGTTATTATTCTGATATTTCTCAAAAGCTCTCAGACTGAGTTGAACCATTTCTAAGAATTCTCTGTTTTAGTCAAGCTGATTTTTTTAATCGTATTATGAGGAAAATATGCTTTTATTCAATCATCAAAAAATGGCTCAAATTATATTAAATATTAATAGGATATTTGAGCAAATGTCTAACTTAATTCGGTAAAAATTTGGGTTTTGAAAATAGAGAATAACATATGCATATAGGGAGTGGCGGCCTAGTGTTTAGGGCGTTGAGCCGTTGAGCCCCACTCCCACAGACTGCCACTCTGGGTATCTAAACAAGAACCTTAAAGCTGCAGTCTGTAACATTGAGGAGAGAGCAGACTTCGACTGAAAATTTGAAGAAAAACAGGTTTCACGCCACTCCCCCACCCTCTCTGCTTCACTCATGCCCCACCTCCAAGCTCCACCCCTCTCACAGCATCTGCGCAGCTACCGCATGCGACCAGAAGGGGGGGGGCGGGATTCAGCGTGTGTGAGCTGTGATTGACACTCCATCAGACGCTCCTCTGGCTGTGATTGGTTGTTTTGACTCGTCCCGAATTATTCTTTCCAGATTGAAATACAGGCAGTATGCAGGACCAATTGAAGCAGTTTTTTTCACAGGTTACATATCACATGTACTGCTGTCTGGGCATAGGGACAGTTTTAGCCAATATGACAAAAAAGTGATTTTTAAAAACTTACAGACTTCAGCTTTAAACCCCGCACCGCTCCCCAGGCGCCACACAATGGCAGCCCTCTGCTCCCCAAAGGGATGGGTTAAATGCAGAGACTGATTTTCGTTGCTTCGTACTTGTGACAGTGTAATGACAATGACATTTTACACAAAAAGACATGCAGAATATGCAAATATGTGCAAAAAGGAGTCCTTCAACAGCAAGCTTTACCTCTGAAACAAACAGGGTGCTAGGGTCAATGATGTCAACAAAGTGTCTCAGACGTCCAAGGAATGAAGTCTGAGGAAACAACAAGTCACAGCTCAGTTTCAGCCACTTGAAAACAAAACACTTGATTAAATAGTTTTTGTTTTCTGCTGTTTTTGTTAAGAAGGTTTCATGATTGGAAATACTCTGAAACAGAAACAATGGCACAAAACTAAAGGTGCTTCTGCAATATCCTGCAGAAAACATCATACAGTGGTGAAATTACACTTGGCTCAATGAGAAGCTGAGGGCACAACTTGTTTGCTAAAAGTCATCTTGCCAAGAAACTTAGCAAGCAAACTTTGAGAGAATATTTGAAACGTTAGCAACAGTTAACATGCAAACATACTGTAAGCTGTATCCTTTGGAAAAATAAAAAAGCAAAAAATAATAACAACAAATTCAAAATAATTATTTTAGTAAAAATCTAAAACTGCTTATGTATTTTCGGTTTCAATGCAGGATAGAAACCTAACTAACTTACTAACAAAAACAACGCTGTTTGCTTTTAAAGACACAGGAACACAGACACTATAATTAAGATACAGTTGATGCTCAGTGGTTAAATATTTTAACTCATTCTAATAATGATCAGGATGAAACTTTAGTGAAAGAAGAAGCAAAACACATCAACAGTGATCAGTGTACGGCTCTAAGCTGCTGGTCAGGCATTCTGTTTTTCTCTCCGTCTCTATCAGCAGGCCAATTGCTGAGTCTGTGTGCCAGCTCTTTGAAAAGACCCACTAACCATTTCTGCCAAGAGTCTCTTTGGCAACCTCGTAAAAAACAACCAGATTCCAGTCAGAAATTCGTTTTCCAAGAGTAGACGACTTAGCAAAAGTAGGATGTTTAGATTTTTTTTCTTTTAATGATCTCCTTAGAAGCAGATTTTAATTGCAAAGACTGGGATATCCTGTCAGACCTCACCAAGACTGCAGACAGACTGTTATTCCCTGCTCTTGGTTTTCTATCTCTGCCTTTCTGTCACTGCACATCTCCTATTCTGACAGGCCATATGTGCTGCAGTGCTGTTTTGTAAGAGAGGTGGAGACAGTGCGGATCCATGTGAGGAGCCGGCTTTAATTATGCATGAGCTCCGGCTCCCCTGAGAGAACACAACTAGGTTAGCAAAGATGGAACTCGGCATGAAACGCAGACAAAGAAACAAGCCAGACTTGTGCTGAATCAAGAGCTGGCCTAATTTCCTCTGCTTTGATGAAACACCTAAGATGTATTACAGCAGCTCTGTAAAGGTGTTTCAAACTGTTTCATCTTCCTCTCCATCAGCTGGGTCTGAACAATGAAATGCACTTTGGTGCAAAAAAAAAAAAAAAGGGGCGGAAATTTAAGAAAAACTATACCTATGATCAATCTGTAATCCATTATGATGTCATTCTAAACGCAGATAAGAAAGCAGAGACAAAATCACATATAAGATCTAAACGTGCAGGATAAAACAGGAATCAATTGATTCCCATATTGATTCATTTCCAAGCCATGTTATTTTTCTTTGCATTGGATTTGTGTCTAAGAGAACTCAAGTCATTATTTCTATTCAATTTAAATTCGATTATATTTTATTAACCCCTGGAGGGATTCGGTAGAGCCTGTCCATTTCAAGCTTGTTTTTTTTATTATTATTATTACTTATTCTGAGATCATTCCTTTCAGTTGAAGTTATTGAACTTATTGTGGGAAACCTGATGGATCTTGTAACCCTCAGTGGTCAGTATGTATTTAGTACCAAATTTTCCACAATTTTAGAAAGTTATAGATGATATGTGGTCATTTGTTAATTCTCAATCTGCTAAGATAGTTTGATGTGAAGCTGTAACCTTTCTTAGTGGTTTTGAACATATTTTCCCACTCTTAGTCTCACTGAAGAATTGTTTCTTAAAATGTCAGTGCTAAATATTAAGGTTTTGAAGTAAGGTAAAGCATAGGATAACTACAATTACATTTCTTTTAATCAGATTGCATTATAAATAAAGCTTTATTGAATCAAAATAAAAACCTAACTTTTGTCAAATAATCTCTTAGAAGGTCATTAAAATCAAAGCTTAAGTTAACATTGAGCAATTTCTAACATTCAAGAATCCTGTCTAAATAAATCATATCTAATCTATCATCTGCACCGAAATAGAACATAAATAGAACTGGAAGGTCTGCACAATTTTAAAAATTCATGCAACTGCAACATTTTTGTTGAATACTGTGATAACAATATAGAATACACTGTAAAAAAATAAATAAATAAATAAAAAAAATTCCTTAATATAAAAACAGTAATTTGTGCCGTGAATTTATGGACATTTCTTACAGTGTGGGGTTAACATAATTTTTTTCTATTACTCTTCCCTTCCATCACAGTGTTCACCGATGCACTCTTCAGACTTTATTATTGCTTTTATTAAAATGTGTATGCAGCAAAGAGGGAGGCCCCCTGCAATAATCATATATATTGGAGGCTATCAGAGAACCTGCAATATGATCAAGCATTGCCTCCAAGCATTTACTGTAAATGCCATATTGTAAATATTACATTTAAAAAGAAAATATTTTACAGCAAAAACCTGAATGTTGTGATAATTTACGGACACACTTTTCTTCATCCATTTAAATAAACATGAATATATTTTGTTAAAGTGTATTGTTGACTCAAATGATTAATATGATCATATATTTTTAGTCAACTTATAGAATTTTAGAAATGAGGAGTTTTACAAATTAGCACAACAACACTTTTTTAGGCTTTAACGGTGGTTAGATAATGAGGAAGAAAGGCAAAGTAATAATTAAATGCAAAATATATGAGCGTAGGGAACCTAAAGGTCTACACAGACATTTCATGTTGATGCATTAATGCATCTTTGCAAAAAGAACCTGCAACATTTTGGATGGGAAATTTCTTGCGAAATTAAAGGTATAGAGGACAATCTTTTATTACTGGGTGGATCATTCAAATAAGTGGTCCTCCTAATTGTCAATCATTCTGGTGATGTTTACATGAGGCCGTCCTACGTGCTCGTCCCGTTAGCTATCTTTTTCTGCACATTCGCACTTTCAGGTGTATATGTGCTGTGAGCTATGGTTTCAGACAGTCACTGAGGCTCACCTTTCTGAAAATGAAAGGCCTCAGAAGAGGCAGCTATATCCCATAATGCTTTGCATGGAGAGCTCTCCTCGCAAAGCATTATGAGATTTGCTTTCATAGTGGCCCCCTGTCAGTGGAGGCACCGCGCAGTGAAGGAGCTACGTGACCAACAGGTAGCAAAAACAGTGATCATCAATCCGAACAGTAAGTTAACCTATTTCGCTATCAAGTCCACTATATAGTCCCGGCTGTATATTGTGATTGAGGGATTTAGGGGATAGTATGGACATTAGGGCACAGTAAGCTTGTATGAGCTATGAGAACTTTTAAACAGAGCATAAATTAAGAAAAACGGATCGTGCACACTCTCGCACGCAGATTTCTTTAAAGTGGAGAGGGCGGGTCTTTTAAAAATATTTGCGAAAATCCTTCACAATACTAATATATTGTGTGTCTAATATAATTTAGGAGGAAACACCAGCTAATGTGATGACAAAATTACACACATACATGTCTTTGCACTGAAATAATCTCTAAATAGTGCTGCACAGGGAGCAAAACCTGGATAGGGGGAAAATTAGTGTAAAAAGTCTGGAACCTCAAATATAATAGACAAGCAAATATCCCATCTCAACAGGCCTTAGCAGGTGCATTACATATTGATATTGTAATTTTATGTTTCATATCTCCAAAAAAACAAAAATTGCAGGAATGAATAATGAGAAACATCCCCTTTACCAGTAAAACTGTAGACTTATAATAAAACAGGCTATATTTCTCATCAGTCCATTGTGACCGAGTGTGTTCTCTAAGATTCTTAGTATTTTATGCTCATTAGAGTTTAATAAGTAGGATTGTATTTACACCAACACATAACTTATAATCATCAGGTACAGCTTTAACAAAAATACCCTGGCAGCTGTTAAAATAATAGCTCTATACCAAAATACAGTCTCTGATACCTGTTTACTCAATTTGCATAATGCATTACCGTCTGGTAAATTATTTTCCTCAAGTTGCTGTATAAGGATTGCTCTGACACATCTTTGGTTAATGAGCAAACTGAGTTGGTGTGAAGGTCGCATTATCTATCAGAGAGGAAAAACGTGAAGTAATTTATTAATGGGAAATTAGGAGCAGATGAGGTGATTTTATGCAAAAGACTCTTTGTTTGCAGGAAAATCTGTGCGCGGATAAAGAAACTTCAGTATTAATTCGGAGTGGATTAAATGTCAAAGTGTTTGCCATACAATTTTGGGAAAGCCATCAATTTGTTCCTTACTAAATAAAACATAAGCATAAATGCACGACATTTTTTTTATTTAAAATAAAATAGAAAAAAATAGAATAAATAAATAAATAAACACGCGACATTTGATGTGTCAGGATAAAAAAAAACCGCTGTAGGCTATTAAGTAAAGTAAAAAATAATCTACTTTAGTGCATCAAACTTGTTGGATCGCATTCAGAAGTTTTTGTTGTTTTTTTGTTTTGCAGAGATAAAATCAGCGATGCATGTCGAAGGCAACTTTAGCAGAGTATCTGCATCCACATCCAGAACGGGGCGATGAGGGCGGAGGAGGAACAGGATGTTTTCTCCAGCAGACAGCCTTGGAAAACCTAAATGCAATCAAAGCGGATGGTTTAACCTACCTGATCGTATCGGGGTCTGCCGAGCTGGAAAGCAGAACAATCTGCAGATTCCGCCATGACACCAAACTCTTTTTACTTATTCACCAACCGGATCATTAAGACGGATTTCTTCAGTAGAGCGAACTACAGTCCGTGTGAGAGTAACTCGAGCGGAGCGATGCGCCTCTAAGCATGCCGGAAGTTGTAGTTTTTTGTCTTAGCCTTAACACTGGTAAAGTTGATGTGCATGACTACACATCCCAAATGATCGATAAGCTGGAAGTCATTACATAACTGTTCGGATTGATCTTGGTAGAGATAGACTATAGCTCCCATCAATGGCCTAACTATCGGTAAGCAGAGACTGCCGTTGCTTAGGGGCCCCGTCACTGACACCTGGAAGGCCCCCTTTAATTGTGCACAAAAAAATCCTCACATATCCACTTCCCATATTTATACCCCGACACATGCTAGATTCCAACATGATGGTTTTTTTTTGTTTGTTTGTTCGTTTGTTTTTTGAGTTTATATACTATAATAATCCCAGGGGGATTTTATATACTCTAACATAAAAATCCCAGAGGGAAATTACTTCTCTGCACCCATCCCCTGGGGGAGCAGTGGGCTGTCATTGTGCGGCACCCAGGGAGCAGTGTGGGGTCAAGGGTCTTGCTCAGGGAGCCAGAGTGGGAGTGGGGGATCGATGTCTCAACCTCAGGATTCAAAGCCTTATGCCCTAACCGCTAGGCCGCTACTACTAAAGAAGATAGTGGTACTTTTAATCAAGATGGATACCAAAAAAGAGGTACTTAAGTGTATTCCAGAAAGGAAAAAGGAAAAAAGAGCTGCCGGAAGAATGGAAAAAAAACTTCCCAAAATAAATATGTTGTGGCCCAGCTTTGATGACACAAAAAGGCGGAGGTCCACAAAGGCCACAGATGCACCATGGACTTATTTTAAGGAGGCAAAAATAAAAAAATTTCCTGGTAAACTCCTTTATTTTTGTCAGTATATTTTTCCTCAGGCAAGCAAACAAAAAAAGACAAACATTTCCTCCATGTTTCTTTTGTGCTGGTAAAAAAAAAAAAAAAAAACATACGCCCACCCAGATGCATAAAAAATAATTCACCTAAATTGATCATAACAACCAAAAAAATAAAGGAACATGACTAAATAAACAAAAAACATAATCTCCTAACAGATATTAAACAAAGTAAAATAAACTTAGCTAGATTATGCACAACATTTTTTTTAATCATTAACAAAAATTAATTGGCTCCTACAAAATATGGTCTTTTAAAGAAACAAAAGGGAGGGGTGTTGTACTTCATATGGGGCCCACCCAGATAATGTTGCTTACGGGCCTATTGTTGTGTCGTTACGCCATTGGCTCCCATGTAGGTGTCAGTTTGGCCCTATAACAGCGGATTGAGGAAAAGAGGCCATAATTAGCCATAAGCAACTAAATGAGGGGCCTGCAGTGATAGGAACCTGCACACTTTGATCCACTTTAAAGTGTAAGTTCATAAACTAGATCTCTGCCCAATGATAACTAAACATATTTACCAACATTGAAAAAGATGCTTGAAGTGAGTTTATAAGAAATTATTTTTCTTATAAACATTGATTGCTTTTACATTTTTGTTACAACTACAAGCCTAAGTGTATGGGAGGAATGTTAAATGGTAGAGAAGGGAAACATGACTTTCAGTGTTGTTAAAAATGTATATCTGTGTGTATGGCTTATGTCAGTTCTGAATTTGTCTGATACCCGTTAATAGGTTAGGTCAATTAATGAGTTTACATAACCTACCTGTGTAGAGTTGAATCTAACAGCTGTTTTATGACGGTCTCTGAAGTTAATTAAAGCAGATTAAAGAAAGACCAAGCAATGCACCAACTATACAAGGAAAAGAGTTTAGAAGAGGTTTAGAGCATCCATCCATTATCTTCCGCTTATCAGGTGTCAGGTCATGGGGTGTTGGCGACAGTCAAACAAACTGAGTCTCCAAGCGGCTGATTAGGGGAATCCTTGTTGACACGCTTGCTGTTCAAAAGTTCATTCCAAGATGCAGTTTGGATCCTTTTGTTTTATTGATCTTCCAAACATGCAATGCAGCATACAAAAAACGAATCCACAGGTTTGAGCCCTGGTCAAGGGCAAAGGAGAACAAAAAACATCCAAAGCTTAAAGCGGTCAGCAAAAAGTAGAGATCCCCCATCACCCACCCACTGAAACTCACCAGGTGAGCAAAACAGGTGATCTTACAAATCACTGCTGACACCACGTGATCAAAATGCCTGTCCACCACATGGGGGTAGCAGCTTCAGCAGACGTCCCTCTCCCCAGCCATTTGGGTAGCTCCTCCGGCGGAATCCCAAGGCGCTCCCAGGCCAACCGGGAAACATAGTCCCTCCAGGGTGTCCTGGGTTTCCTTCTGAGTCTCCTCCCAGTAGGACATTGCCAGCACACCTCACCAGTGAGGCGTCCAGGAGGCCTCCTAACCAGATGCCTGAGCTACCTCAACTGGTTCCTTTTGACATGGAAGAGCAGCGGCTCTACTCTGAGTCCTCCCCTGAAGACTGAGCTCCTCACCCTATCTCTAGGAGAGCCCAGACACACTACGGAGAAAACTCATTTCAGCCGCTTGTGTCCAGGATCTCGTTCTTTCGATCACGACCCAAAAGTCATGACCAAAGGTGAGGGTAGGAACGTAGATCGACCAGGACACAGAGAGCTTTGCCTTTCACCTGTCGATCTTCTGCTCCATCTTCCCCTCATTCTTTTAAAGCAGGTTCTGGTTATTAAACAACATCACAACCTCCCATCATCTGGAGTTTAGTCCAACTACAGATCTAACAAGACCTGGCCATCCTCCTGACCTGAATTACTGGGCATGGAGAGCTTTAATCAATATACCTGGGGGCACAGCAGAGATTCACAGCTGGCTTTAAGTTGCAGTCAAGTGAAGCATAAATGGAATGCCATAAGCAGGTAGGGAGAGTAGCTCATGAGAAATTACAGTATCGCATGTGGAACACAACAGAATACAATGCAGCAAGAAAGGACTAAAAAATCCAGTGTCATTTTAAGATCTAGACCAATAAACAGTTGGTAGCTAACACAGAAGACATTGTGAGGGTGGACAGAGCAGAGAGAATTGCAGCTGTGACAGATGAAGCAATGCCAAGTTATAGCAACTGGACTTGAGAAATACCCAGGGCTCAAAGAGCAGATAGAGAAGCTGAGGAGAGTCGAGGCCTGAGTGGCGCTTCTGTGGTGGAGAGTGTCTCCATCAGAGCACAGGAGCAACATCTGAGATTTAGAGTGATCATTTCACTTAAATGCAAGGTTTGGACAGAAAGACCATAAGCCCTCTTAGAAACGTGAGTATGTGTGCGTGTGCATGTGGATGGGTGGGAAGTACTTCTTATAACAGGACTATTAACAACATAATTATCCACTGCATATAATTTATATACAGTGGATAGGTGCATTATTTTCACTCTTTGTATTTAAAAGGGTATTTAAAAGCCTTCACAGTATCCTAAATATAGGGCTTAGATATAAGTATGAGAAATGTATGTGTAACAGTTTGCAGTTATAAAAATCTAAATGGAAGAAGGCCTACCTACAAATGCCCTCATATTTAAATAGCTGCTTTTAGTATCTGATATATATATGTATAGTCCTTATGCTGCCGTCCTGACCTGCAGACCTTTGCTGCACACTTGTACTTTCTCTATCCAGCCCCTTTCCCGTCTGCTACAATAATGGAAACAATAAATATTTCTATAATTGTGCTATTTTCTATAGTTATGCTGCTATAGGTTTAGGCTTCTGGAGGACATAGGCACCCCCATTTCATCATTCTGCTTCATTCTATCTCTATTCTCCTACTCTGCAGAATCTGTTAGTTCAGTCTCTAATGTTATACTCTCTCTGCTTTTCCTCAGAGTAGCTTTGCCTCGTCTGTTCCTGTTTGGCTGTGACGCCATCCTGGAGAGAAATATCAGCTTGCTGCTTCCATCAACACCCTTGTTTATAGATCGCCCTGTTTTCCAGTGTATTCCTGATTCTCTGACCGTGACAGGCTGGATGTGCTTTCTTCATTCTCTGACATGGGAGCTGGCTCGGTGCTCGTCTGCCTAACTGTGTGTTTCCTGGATGGGGTCGCCTTTTACAGCTGCTTTTTGTATCTCTGCTTCTGTCTCCTTGAACCCCAGTCGGCCTCGGCTGATGGCCGCTCACACTGAGCCTGGTTCTGTTGGAGGTTTCTTCCTGTTAAAATTGAGTTTTTCCTCTCCACTGTCGCTACAAGCATGCTTAGTGTGAGGGATTGTATTTGAGTCAATGAGTCAATCCAATCAACTGGTTTTCCTTAGATAGAAAACTTTGAATCAATTTGACTGTATGATCTGGTGAACTGTAAAGTGCCTTGAGATGACATGTGTTGTGAGTTGGTGCTATATGAATAAACTGAATTGAATTCAATAAATCAAATGAAGGTCTACGTGTTAAACATCTACAGATTACACTTCAATAACAACCAGGCTTAGAGGATGTTTCTAAGCCAAAACAAGGCTTTGCTTTGGTCCACTCTATAAAGACTTTAACTCAACGCTATCTATGACATTTTAAATTGAAAAACCTTCCTGGGTGGGAAGCGAAATGTCTTTAAACTTGGAAACAAAATCTAGAAGCTTGTTTTTTAACTTTTTTGGAATTACTATGACCTAGATGACTGAGAATCTTAACCAGTAAAAACCAGGTAAAGAAAATAAATCCTTGTTCCTCTGAACCATGCTGCTTACTGGAGCTAAATGGAATTTAAAGCCTATTCTTGTCCAAGTGCATTGCTTCCTAATTAAAAAAAAAATAGAATTAAAATCCTGTAGGACTTTCTCCTAAATTCTCCTGTAGGACTTTCTCCTAAATCCTGTAGGACTTTCTCCCATCTTCAAATACGTTATCACTGACTTTCTTTAAAACTGAGAGCAGATCTGGAATAATTTTGCCTTAATATTTCTCCAATTCTTATCAGGTGGTTACAACACCAAGCCAAAATCCTTATAAGTTTAAACCTACTTGGCAATAAATCTGATTCTGATTCTCTTTTGGTTCCTCACACAGAAACTGGTTTTAATCATAGGTTATAAGATTCTAAAAGGGTTAAAATCAGGAAAAAAAAAACTTGGATGTGCTTGGATCATGTACTTCAAAATAAGATAAATCGAAATTGGGTTAGAATATTTAGAAGTAACCTAGAAATATGTTTCAAAAATATCATAAATTCAACGTCACTGGAACAGCTGTGATAC